TCAAAATTAAGCTGGTTCGCAATTGCCAACAAAGAACGAATTGATTTATACTTTGCAACAGGCGAAAATGTTTCGTCGTAATCCAAACCTGGTTCCTGAGAAAAACCTTTTGCGACTAGACGAGCTTTATGTCTCTCTACAGATCCATCCACGTTGTATTTTACTTTAAATACCCAACGACAATTGATAGTTTTTCGTTTTTCGGGAAGATCAACTAATGTCCATGTTTCGTTCTTGATATGAGCTGCGTATTCATCATCCATGGCATATTTCCAATGCTTCTTATCAGGACCAGTTAGAGCTTCATCTACGGTTGTGGGTTCTGTTAAACTTAGCTCTTCATTTATGAATGCTGTGTTACTTTCCCACCAATTTCCAGTAATCACTGTCCCATATCTTTCTGGAGGTTTTCGTTGACGAAATGAACGTCGTGGTTGTTCTTCGATTTCTGTTTCTTGCAAAATGTTTGACTGATTCATGTCTTGATTAGGATCTATTGTGGTATCGTCTTTATGATTCGGTGAAGGTAAAGAAAGATTAGTAATCGTAAATTCTTCTTTAATAAATCTTGAATTCATTTCATTGAGATCAACTATTTCTTTCTTTGTTTGTTTGATAAATTCATCTTCATTAAACAAGACATCTCTGGATATATAAACCTTTTGAGTCTCAAGGTCAAAAAAGTCTATATCCTTTACTTGAAAGACTGTAACCAACAAATATACATCTTTTTGTTTTCGAATCCCATTTCTTTCTATTTTCCTTTGATACATGCATATAGGCAGTACATCCAAATACCTTAAAATGCGATACATCTGGTTTCTTTCCATAGAAGCTTTCATAAGGTGTCATTCCATTAACAGCTGCTGTAGGACTTCGATTTCTAATAACGACTGCTGTGCATACAGCTTCAGCCCAAAACCTTTTCTCAAGATTTGCATGACACATCATGGACCTAGCCGCTTCTTGTATAGTTCGGTTCATTCTCTCGGATACACCATTCTGTTGTGGTGTTCTAGGTACACTTAATTGATGTTGAATTCCCTTTTCTTTAAGATAGTTCATGAACTCTTTGGATCTATATTCACCGCCATTATCTGATCTAAGGATTTTGATCTTCTTCTCTGTGAAATTTGTAACCATAGCTTCATATTCCTTAAACTTCTCTAATACCTCATTTTTTTCTTTTTATAAAGTAAACAGCTGTGAATCTGGACTTATCGTCAATAAAGGTAACATAGTAACGACTACCACCATAACTGTTTTCTTGCATAGGTCCACAAACGTCACTGTGAATGATTTCAAGAATTTCCTTTGCTTGAGTTGCTTGTCCTTTGGGAAATGAAATTCGATTCTGTTTGCCCTTTGCACAACCTTCACAGAACTTAGGTTCTTTTGTAGACTCAAAATCCAACCCATTAACCAATTTGTGATCTCTCAATAATTGCAAATTCTTTATACTCAAATGACCATACCTCTGATGCCATAAATCCTCTTGATGATCTTTTTTAACCATATTGACATCATGAAATTTATCATTCTTTAAACTTGCATCAAGTATGTATAAGCTATTTCGTAGCTTACCAGATCCCATGACTGTTCCTGATGTGTCAAAGATAACACATCCACTTTCTTGAAGATGAATTGAATATCCTCGCTTAGTCGTGGCACTTACTGAAAATAGATTCTTTGCAAGGTCTGGAACATGCAAAGCATCCACCAATCTTACAGGTTTATATTTCTTACCAGCTTTGATGTTAAGCCAAATATTTCCTTTTCCAAATGCTTGGACAACACGATTATCTCCCAGACGTACCTTTTGTGGGCTTGCAAAATGAACATAGCCAACCATCATTTTCTTTTCATATGACATGTGTTGGGATGCTCCTGAGTCTATATACCATTCAAAGTCTTTATGATTTTTAGATTCCGATGACCAAAATAATGCATGTTCAACAGATGCATTAAATGATGTATCTTCTTTTCTTTCTTTGGGGTCTCTTGACTTATTTTTCTTGGGTTTATTGCAATTTCTTGCCCAATGTCCAGGGATTCCACAATTGTAACATTTTCCTTTTTTCTTGTATTTTATTTTTATTTATTGTTTCTCTCATTTTTTGACAATAAAGCATCTTCTCCAGCATCTGCACTTGATAAATTTTCTTTACGTTTGTAGTCTTCATGCAACAACCTTGCTACTACAAATTCCAATGTTAAATCATCAGCACGAGACTCTAAAGCTGTAATCAAGTTACTGTAGGATTCCGGGAGGCTACATAAGATGGTTGCAACCTGATCATCCTCTGTTATAGATGCACCCAGCGCTTCAAGCTGACTTGCCAAAGCTTTCATTTTATTAATATGCTCAGTCATAGATTCATCAATCCCCATAGTTGCCGAGAAATATTTCTTTCGAAGAAATAGTTTGTTCGCCAAAGACTTTACTTCATAGTGGTCTTCCAATTTTGACCATGCTTCCTTCGCTGTTTTAGCCGATCGAGCTATTAACAATTGTTCGTCCTTTAATGATAAACAGATTGTAGCGAGAGCTTTTCTTTCTCGTCTTTGAAATTGTTTGCGTTGAGTTTCAGTTGAATCTTCAACAGAAGGCTCAACCTCGACGCCATTAACAATATCCCAAAGATCTTTATCTTCTAGGATCATTTGTAACTTAAATTTCCAAAGATGAAAGTTCTCTCCATTAAATTTTTCGATTCGATACAACATTGCGTGTTCGTCACTACCTGACGCCATTGTCAAAACTTGTCAAAAATACGGCTAATTTATCTATAAATTACACCTCAACAAGTCCTCAAACCGAACATGCGCTCCCTGGGCCCATAACCTGTTAATCTTTAGCAAAATTGTTTGAGCAAACATTTATTTATTGTAGTGGGCTAATTAAATAAGAAGATTCAATACAAAACTATAATCGTAACTGGAAACTCAGAGGAATGTCAATAGTTTATATATACAAAAATATCACGTGACTAAATAAACTGAACTATATATGTGAATACGAACTAGCGTTCTATTTTTCGTATAGTGATGCAGTATAATCTTTAACATTAACTCATTACATAGAGGTTTGAATGGAGGTCTCTAGGGGTGGTCTATGCCTGACAACTTGGTAGAAATTTTTAGATACTATATCTGTTTTTGAATAGCATTATTGTAAAATAAATTTTACGTTCCTAGACAGGCTAATGAGCCATATATTTGGCATGATAATGAGCCTAAATATTTGGCAAAACATTCAAGTATTGTTCACTTCATTTTTTTAAAAAAAACGTAAGCAAAATGTGTTGTTTTTACGCAAAAACGATGCCCACAAAATACATTTTGTATTGCTCTAAAACGCAGAAAATGGCATTTTCAAGGCTCTGATATTCAAAATTTCTCAGGGGAGAATGCCTCAGACTCCTCCCTCCAGATGTATTTTCACTTCATTATTTTTTTAAAAACGTAAGTAAAATGTGTTGTTTTTACGCAAAAACGATGCCCACAAAATACATTATGTATTGCTCTAAAACGTTGAAAATGGCATTTTCAAGGCTCTGAAATTGAAAATTTCTCAGGGGAGAATGCCTCAGACCCCCCCTCCGCCTCCGACGTTTTATGACTGATGTTTGAAAAATCCTAGATCCGTCCATGTGTTTGCTATCTTTAAAACGATTTTCAAATTTGTCACCATGATAAAGTCTCTATTTTATTATTTAACTAATATGTACAATTATTTAACCTATTTTCTGCTAAAGCATGGGGCACCACTAATGGCTAGTTGACAGAGGGCCCACCATGGTTGTGTTACGACACTGAACTAAATCCCCCCACAAAATCCGACAATATTTTGTCGAAAGATACATAGACTCAAAGATTTTGTTTTGATCTTGAGGTATCAAAGTTAGGGAGTGAGGGTGTTGGGCAGTTTTTGAGTTTACCCACAATATCAATTATTTAGTAATGCCAAACGTCTTTTTTGCGTTTAGAACACATATATAACAATTGTCTCGAAAACATATGTGTGTACGTATGTGCTTGTGTAAGAGAGAGAGAGTGAGAAAAGATAATATGACTGAAGTAATAGCATAGTTTCGAGTGCAATTTTTCAAAGACAATCAAAAAGAAAATGGCACTGGTGTTTCGCTTCTTTACACGGGTGTTTTGTATTATTGCACTGGTATTTTAAAAAAAAAGTACACTTAGCTAATTAAGAAATTTTTTCATGTTTATTATTAGGCAACCAATATAGCTAATACGCAAAATATAATTAAACATTTTAGTTCGAGTGATCGCCAGATTGGTGTCTTGTTAAGTTTTGCTTCGTAAGTTCTCTGTTCAGTTTCAGCAGGGACAAAAACAAAAAATTACAAACTAGGATTAATAGCAAAAATTTATACGCAAGACAAAAACTAGCGAAGTGGCACGTTGCTACGCCACAGAGGGACACAAATTCATTATTTTTTAGACAATGTGACGAACTAGAACTAGAACTTGAGAAATCATCCAGATTTGTCACAAATCTGGAAAGAAAATTGAAAATTTCAGAAGAGAATGTTTGTTCACTTTATCAACGTTATGCAATCGAGAAAGACTTAAACAAGCGGTTAAAACAATATTCAATAACCTCAACAGAATACAATAGAAGAAATGACATGGACGTCAGGTCAGGAACAGAATGGATATAAATATTTTGAATATTTAACCCATGAAATATCTTTCAAATATTTTTTAGGATGTTGACAAGCTATGAAAGCTTTGATATTCAGGAATGTTTAGATGCTTTGGAAAGCAGATGAGAGCATCTTGAAATGATTGTGGATAATGATGATCAATATAGATATTTCATGTAGAGAATTGTGGATAGCGATGATAACCGTGGATATAAAGTAAATGTAGACCATTCCTGATGCTGATGATCATTATGGATTTTCGATGAAGATAATTGTGGATAATAATGATCACTGGAGATACTTGATGTAAATAACTGTGGGTACGGATAATCATTATAGATATTTAATCTTGAGACTTGTGAATGCCGATCGTCAACATAGAAAATAAACTCAATGGCTAGAACTATAACAATTGGCTCCCTTAATTGAGATATCCATTAACATATATTGGTCCTTTTAAGCCTTTACCAACCAAACGCTTGGAGAAATATCTGACTCATCTCCATTTGTAAAGATCGATCACATAGGGTGAGATATTCACCAAAAGACAGAGGTTCGATATTTCACGGTAAAGAGCAAGCAAGCGATGTTTATAAAGAGTTTAATATGATTTAAAACGTTTTAGCTACTTGAAAAAACCGGACATGCATTTATTATTTTTTGAAATGCTTGCATTATAAATGAAAACTCAGATGCCGGTGTTCTTAGCTACTCCGAATCACATTCGTACGCGCAGGCTTTTTTATCTTGCAATTGGCGTTTTAAAAAACTTCTGCCATTTTTGTCGAAATTCTAAATTCTCTTTCGGTGAAATTACGTTTAAATAGACCGCCAAAAATGCTTCTGAGCCAATGAAAGCGGGCTCTTTTAGCTACCACTTTCCATAAATGGCTCTTGTTTTACGGATATTATTAATAGAAACGCTCACGACATGTTTTACTGGTTTGTTAATGTTCTTTCACCTCAGCAATAACTCTTTAGATTTCTCCCGTAAAATGTCGTCAACTTGTTTAACATAGTTATCAGTTAAGAACTGAATCTGAATGAATTGAAAGTTTTTGATCAAGACAAGGAAGAGATTTTTTGTTAAATAAAATATTTCTCACATGATTCTCAAGCATCCTAGCATCATCTTGAGAGATTTCTTTCCTTTGTTTAAGTACATCATTCATTCCTTTTTGACGCATTTTTCTTATCCCAATCTTCGCCTCTTTACTCAAACCTTTTGCAGATTTTACTAAATCATGGCGCAATTCCATCGTTAGCCTTTGAGTACAAAACAGATTGTCGAAAAATTACAGTAAACATTGCACATTTGTACGGACGACTTGAGACTAAGCTACATACGAATAGCTAACAACTCAATTCGCTTGTGATAAAGGTGACTCCTGATGAAGACCTTAAACAAAACATTACAAAATTAAGAACTAAAGTCTTTGCATGATTCTTAATGAAGTGTGACCATTCACAATACTTCACTCCTTGTTTAAGAAAAATTTACCATGGTACAGTAACTGTGATTTTATTTCCTTCCAGTGTTGGACTGAAGATAGATTTGTCATTCAAAGTCTTCATTACAGATAGAGTCAGCTACAAAAATAAGCAAAAGCCCTTAAATAACAATGACTTAATTCAAACAAATTCAATCATGTCCCACAATACCTTACATTTGGTGATAAAGCAAGATCCAAAATATACTTGTCATCTTTATTTTGAATGATGGCTACATTTCCAAGAGATGTTTTACGTTTTCCAGACGTTATTTTGATATTGTCGAAAAATGCTGAAAATATAAGATTTGTCCTAAGAAAGTGAGTGAGAAAAATAAACCATTTTCAACTAAAACGAGCAAGGGAGACATTAAGTAAGAGAAGGGCGTACAGAGATAACGCTTCCATGGACGAGATAAGGAGTATGTGAGTGAACAAGGAAAAGAGAAAGCGAGTGTGAATGAAGAAGGGAGTAAGGGAGTGTGTCAGTGAACAATGGAGGAAGGAGTGTGTCTGTGAAAAAGGGAGGGAGGGAGTGTGTCTGTGAACAAGGGAGGTAGGGAGGAATGAAGGGTGAGGGAGGTGGAATGGAAGAAGGAAGGAAGGAGTGGAAATGGAAGGAATGGAATGAATGGAATGGAATGGAATGAACAAGGAATGGAAGGAATGGAATGGAAGGGAATGGAATGGAATGAAAGTGGTGGAATGGAATGAACAAGTGGAAGGAATGGAATGATGGAATGGAATGGAATGGAATGGAAAGGAACAGTGGAGGAATGGAATGGAATGGAATGGAAGGAATGGAATGGAATGGAATGGAATGGAAATGGAATGGAATGGAATGGAATGGAATGGAAGGAAGGAATAAGCAAGGGAGGGAGGAAGTGTGAGTGGGTGAGAAAAATAAACAAATGAGTAAACTTGAGAGTAAGAAATAACAAGAGGCTAAGGAAGTTATGAAAGGGTTAGAGTGAGTGAGCAAGGATGTTGGTTATTGAGTGAATTAATTAATAATTGTAATAGTGATCAAATAAGCAAAACAGTTAGTGAGTAAGTAAGGTGGTAGGAGGGAGTGAGATCTTTTATGGGATGAAGATCTGACTCCTTTATTGGCCATACCTGTTGAAATTCTCGTTGTTATTCATTTTTTTAATGCATGACGTAATTTATCTAACTCTGTCTCCATGCTAGACGTTAGTTTTTCGACATCAACAATTCCCTCAGCAACATTGCTGTCAAATGATGAGGCCATGATCTTCTTATTGCCTGATAAAAGCAAAAAAAGACGTAAAAATGTTAATGGTCATTTAGTTTTGTTAATGGATTGAACATGCATGAGTTAAATTGTGAATCAAATGGCAAAAACTGAAAAACAGTTAGCACTTAGCATATTATGAAATAAATCCTCACCTTTTTTGCTCGCATAGCCTCTAACAGGTGCATGATATGAATATAAATTATTCATAGGAAGGTTTTGATGGATAGAAATGCGAAACATCGGCAAAAAACATTTTTGAAAGCTTGGAGTAAAAACAGAAGTGAACGACACAAATTTTACATAATGCGCCGCCATGTTGTTTTCGTTTTACTTATTCACATCCATCACATTCCGAACAAGTAACACGCAGTGGCACCCATGGCGAATTTTTTGAAAAGTTTGCATACATTAACCCTCTAGAGGCCGTTGTTGCTCGCCGGCAACAATCACAGATTAAGGCGTGTACGAACTTTTGAATAGGCCCGGGTCCTAGAGGGTTAAACATTTCGTTGCAGATGTGCGACACTGCCCAGTAAAGGGTTAACTGCATTGCCAATAGTGTATGGTGGAATCGAAAGCGAATGATAGGAAGAGACAAGATATAATAATTTCTCCTTGTCTACTAGTACTAAATGAACGATGTACAATAAGAAATGTACCAGAGGCAGACTAGCCTATAAGGACCATTCAGTGACCATTATAACAACGCAGGGATCTTTCCTGGTGCACCCCTGACTCATACACTCTTTTGGGCTCATTGCACCCACTTTTTTAAAACATGTATTAAATAACTGAAGAACGGGCTCGGCAGAGGTAACATGGTACCGTGGCTAGCAGTAAATCGACTTCAATCGAACGTCAATTAAGGGAGATCATATTCATATATTGTGCTATGCTGGGTTATTTTCTCTTAAGGTGAAATTAGTTTCAACAGACATTAGCCATTCATAGCTAAATCAACGAATAATATCCCCTCCCAATTAACATATGAATGATGGTGAATGAGAAATAGAACTTTATGTGAGCACAATTTTTCCACACTGTAATGATTGACATTTTGATGCAGGATAAGTTGACAACATTGAACACTTTTTACGTAATATTGGTTAAAAAAGCAAAAATTTAAATCTTTATTAAATACCAATTTTTCTCTTAAATATTTTCTCTATACCAGTGGCGTAAGTTTGAACCAGGTTTCTCGTGGTCTATCAAGGAGGGGGTGCCCCCCTCTTCCCCCATACCAAAATCTGACAACTTAAAAAATTTTCTTAGAAATGATAATAAGAACACATTATTAAATGGTTTTTAATTTTTATACAGAATAATAACAACTAGAATTTCAATTTTACTGTTACGAACACGAATTTACGAACAATCTTCAATAAGAAATATCTATAGTGCTTCCATTTGCCCAAATATAAACCTACTTTTTTTATCTTTATGCTTATATATATCACCGATTAAGGATGCCATTTGCAAGCTAATTATATGAGTGCCTGTTGCTCTAACAGCCCAGAGCTCATTGCAGTTACCCCAATGCTCTATACATATCTTTTATATACTTTACATCGATATTTGACAAGCGTTTCTTCAAATTGAAGAAAATGACAAAGTAGAAACTTTTTAGAGCTTAAAATTGTATTGGTAAAACTAAATGCCGATTATGTTGCCAACTGTTGCAACGCCATATTTTGTCAGATGACGCTAAAGCTTCTTTCTTGGTTTCTGAATGGCACAGAAAAACACACAAGAACAAACTATGGATCAGAAAAAATGTTTTAGAAAGCCTTGTTTCTTGTTTAAATATAGTTCTGAAGTAGTGGCAATTTTTGTATGATATCATCAGTAAGTTTTTGTATTGGAGTTTTATTAAAAAGTCAAGACTTCGTACGTAAAACATGAACGACATGATTATTCTGATGTAGTATTGTAAAAGAAAATAAACTAACATTGAACAGTAAATAATTTAAAAAGATATTTGTCTTCACCACCGAAACTATGAGGTAATAGGAAAAGGCTATTGGGGATATCATGTTGTAATTAAAAAATTTTGCTATTCTTAAATGATTAAATCTCCAAAAAGTCATCCAATTTTTTTTTTATTTAACAACAAAACGTTTTCACTCAACTTAAAAGGATTCAAGTAGAAAAGTACGATATCATGCACAGAAAAAACTTTCAAAATTTGACATGATTAAATTGAGGATCTTGAAACGAATGCCGCTAAAACTTACACCAAGATAAAAAATGGTCAAGACAATTATAGACCAGCAAAGGGGCACCCACCTCTTGTCAACTGCAAACAATGACTCAAAAGATTGTCAGGTAGTGGATACATTCAAGTGCTTTCAATTTGAATTACATTTGTTAATTAATTATTTACAGTACATTATACAATATTACAACCTATAAAGGTTTTAGAAAAGCTCTTAAACAAATGCTTCATTAAGTTCTTGTACAAACTACTCTTGCATAAGACAAAATTAGAAGTAAACATTAGCTAATTTGCTTAGACCAGATATTTTTATTCTGTGAATAGTCTTTGTTAAGATCAGATGAAAAGCATTGAAAGTGTAAAACTGGCTAACAGAAAACTCTGTATGAACGTTTGTTTACTCTTTTCTCACGCGTTATACAAATACATATGAGAAAATTTTATGATCCTGCTACGTACTACATAACTAATACTCAAAGAAATCGTGCAGTATTACTTAAGATTTAAAGAAAAACTTAAAGTGGGCCTAAAAACTAAGTACTTTAATGTTAGTTGTCCTTTATTACTCAAAATAAGCAAACTGACTAATTAAAAATGGTTTCGCTGAACTAGAAATTGAAATCTTTTTGTTACAGAGCATTACATTATTCCTTTTACCATTAGTGCTTTATATGTCTTGACTGAAAAACTAAGTTAGTTCAGTGCCGTTTGAACAGCATGTGCCAGCTAACAACAATCGACTAAAACCTGTATTTTTTAAATTGCTATAACAACATTTTAATTTTACGTTATTTGTTATACACGGATGATCAATAATTTATGCAAGAATTTGAAATACCTTGGCTTAAGAATTCTATAGGAAGATTGTTCGCTCGTTCATGTGCAATATCGTTTTTATTCATAATCAAAATCTTAAGTTTACAACTCTCGTTTTCAAAGCTTCGCTAAAACACTCTGCTCCATTATCTGTTAATCTGTTATGGCTGATATTTAATTCGGTGAGTACGCATTTTTTATTTTTTAATGCGTCTCTAACATAATTAGCACCATCATCGTCTATATTATTGCAACTAATATCAAGAATGGTAAGCTTACATTTTTTATATGTCAAAGCTTTACTAAGATATTTTGCACCTTCATCACCTAAATTGTTTTTATTGATGTATAATTCAGCAAGTTTACAATTTTTACTCTTTAAAGTCTCACTGAGATGTTTTGTACCTTCAGCATCTAAGTTGTTTTCATTAATGTAAAATTCAGTAAGTTTGCAATTTTCACTCTTCAAAGCCTCACTAAGATACTCTGCAGCTGTAGGTGTTAAATTGTTACAACTTATGTTCAAATTGTCGAGTTGCCAATTTTTAGAAGTTAAAGCCATTTGAAGATATTTAGCACCGTCATCAGTCATCGTGTTTTTACTAATATCCAATTTCCTAAGTTTACAACTCTTATTTTGTAAAGCCTCGCTAAGATACTCTGCAGCTTTTAACGATAGACTGTTAAGACTTATATTCAAATCAGTGACTTGATAATTCTCACTTGTAAAAGCGTCACTAAGATGTTTCCAAAAATGAGAACTAACGGTACACGACTTAAATTGCAAAGACAGTAACTTTTCAGCTGTGCCATTTGATAAAATTTTTTTCGCACTGAGACAGCTTTGATCGTCAAGAAATTTGCATGAAGTAAATTCTAGTTTAGTTAAATGCTCACATTCAGATAAAAATCCAAAAAGTGAACTAGCATCAAGTGGCGTAAAAGTAACAACATTTAAAAAGATTTCTCTATTGTTAGTCTGTTTGGAGGTCTCCAATTTTGTGCAAGCATCCCGAATTAAACTAGGATTCTGCAACTCGTAAAAGCACTTAACTCCAAGAAAACCAAAACTTTTATCCTTGTCATTCGAATAGAAACAAGACATCCACTCTTTAAACCTACAAACGTGACAGCATACCATAAGAAAAATGTCGCATTATTGTGATGTCATACTTGCAAGAAAAACATTCAAAATTTATAGGGATGCCTGAAACTGGGGTGCTATAACTGACTGGGGAAATTTCAGTGCAAAGTGCAGATTTACTCAAAAGTCGTAATATAATTAGACTAATTTTTTACAAACACTGGCGAGAGACTTTTATAAGGCCTAAAATGCCTATCTCTTGTTTCTAGTTGCATTAAGGCAAAAAAATTAAAAAATATTCTTCTTTTGTAAAATTTCGACTGGCTTCACCAATCTATTGCTGAAATACAATTGTCTGTAAGCGACATTTTTTTATTAGTGTGTGGCTTCTTTATTTTGATGTGCAAGAATTTATTTCACTCAATAAAAATTGATGCCCAAACATTTATCTTTGACTCTATTACCTGTGGCATAAAATAATAGATAGATTCAACAGATAAACAGTTATTTCGCAGAAGTTACCTATGTTCACTTAAGCCTAGGGTTCTAGGGTTCACATATTGTTGTAATTGTTGTAATTCTATCGGCGATGTAGATTTATAACAATTACAACAATATGTAAACGCGAGTGTAATTGTTGTAATTTAATCGCAGACAAATCGGGAGCAGCAGGTTCAACTTCTACAATAATTACAACACTCAAAGACATGCCAAAATTGTATGTTAACGTTTTTTGACGATATTGATTAGAACTCGACCTCCATTAACCAATGAGTGAACGGGAATCTTTGCTACGCAACTTCAATTAAAAGCAATTCGAAATTTTCTTTCCTTTTTTTATTGCAGTCCGTAAACGTAATCGTGCTAAGGCTAACAGCAACATTCGTTGCATATGATAGTGGGAGTGGAATGAATGAGGAAGTGTGTGTGAGTGAATGACAGAGGGCGTTTGTGAACGAAGGAGTGTGTGAGTGATTAATGGGGCGTGTAAATAAAGGAGAGACTGTGGGAGCGAATGAGGGAGAGTGTGTGTAAATAAGGAAATAAGTGAAAGAGGTAGTGAGTGTATGAGGGAGTGCGTGAGTAATAAGGGAGAAATTAAAGAAGTGTGTGAACGATTGTGAGACAAAAGGAAGGAATGGATAAGAGACAAAAAGAAATGATTGAGCATGACAAGCAGTAATAGACAGGGAGATATTGGAATAAGCAAGGGAGAGGAGTAAGTGAGCAACGACGTTGGTTTTTGAGTGACTGTGTGTAAATGAGATAATGGGGAAGGTGAGTAAGGTGATAAGAGTTGAGTGATAAGATATTTTACAAGAGAAACATCTAAATAATTTAATGTCCATACCTGTTGTAATTCTTGTTGTTATGGAAATTTTAAATGCATGACGTAATTTATCTCACTCTGTCTCCACGCTAGACGATAGTTTTTCAACATCAACATTGCCTTCAGCAACATTGCTGTCAAATGATACGGCCATGATCTTCTTTTTATTGACTAATGATAGCGAAACACGATAGTCAAAAATGAAATGGTCATTCATTTGTGTTAATTAAACAAACACGGGAAAAGTTGTGAGTCATATTGCAAAAACTGAAAAACGACACTGTCACACTCACACTGAGTGACTAAGACATAGTTAATATGAAATACTTTCTCACCTTTCTTGCTGGCATAACCTCTAATGTGCAAACGATAAGAATAAAAATAAATCTTAGAAAAGCTTGGATGTGTAGAAATGGCAAAAATTTTTGAAAAACATTTTTTAAAACTTGTTATAATTATGGTAGTATACGACACAAATTTTACATGACCCGTCGCCATGTTGTTTCTATTTTAACTTATTCACATCCATCACTTTCCAAAGGAGAACGTGTACGGGAACCAAGGATTTCTTCAAAAGAGGGAGGAGATGACAAAGCATAATTAAGGAGAGACATGACACCACAAACACAATTCAGGAATCCGAGAACGACAAGAAGAGACGAAACATGATACTTTCTCCTTGTCTATGAAATGTTCCATAAACTAAATGTATCAATTCGTTGGTTAAACTACAAACAGCAGTCGTGAATAAAATTGATTCGATATTGTCAGATGATATGAGCTGAACAACCAAATACGTACTGTGATTGAATCATAGTATTGAAAAATATTGAAGGTTTTTAATTTTAAGGCTAGAGAGGACTTTGGCCAGTTCACTGAGTTTTTCAGGCATCAGAAGCCATTTCTCCATTGGCCATGATGACTGTGGACCCGAATGATATTAAATGAAGTAGAAACGCAACAAACGACAATTCAGCAACAAACTCGATTTTACTTTATAAAAACTTAAAATAAACGATGGTTGGAATGCAAAATTAAGTGGTTGGGGATTGGGTTAAGGTATATGGATAGAGACAAAGTGCAAAACTTTCAAAGCAAATTTTTCCAAATTTAAGGTCATCTATATGTAAATAGCCATTTTTGTTCGCTTTGTATATCTTGTATTATTGGATTTCTTACAAATCTTAGCCAGCGTCAGACCAGGTATTAGAAAAGGAAATTTTTACAGCGGCATATTTTCCCCTATAAATTTTTCTTCCATTAGCTTATACTGTTGCACATTCAGTGCACCAGTGTCACACCACTAACTTGAGCCTCATCCAACGCAACAATTTTTTCTAAATTTTTATGTGATTAGTGCAGAATATATGTTAATATATATTTTACAGCACACATATTGTTAAAAACAATAACGTAATGTTTTTGCAATGTTATCCTCTATTTGTAGGGGTTAGGTATGACCCGATTACAAATTTCATGGGGATTAAAGGCACCTAGCGAACTCCCCCCATCCCTTCCTATGCTATAATAACCAGTTTATATGATTTTATATCAAACAAATTTACTCAACGACTTATAAATATAACTACAATAGAGTTCTTGCATGTCGTCTTTATAACGCAAAATTCATGTACGCCATTACTGGCAATTCTATTGCCTTGTAATGTATCTATCTGAAAAATATATTTATTTCTATATTATTTCCACTTTGCTCAATTTTACCACAAAATCTACAATTATTGAAGCATGAAGTAAACTTATAAAATCATGATTACCATGCTAAAGTACTCTGGTGTAAATACTGAAAAACTTTTTTAATGTGCGACATTATATTCTTGTATCTCTTTGTCAAACTTGAGCACATGCTGTTTTGGTGTATTAAAAATTCTAGAAATATAGGTTAAACGCTGTAAATCTTGGGTGATGAGTCTGTCCATTAAGACTAATAAATATTTAACATGAGTGACAACAAGCAAACTGTCACGTGACCAAGTTGGCGAAATATGTTTGTACATACAGTGTGTCGTTTGAATTTTAAAAATTATACTGACAATTTTTGTGAAAGGTCGAAGTTTGATCTGCAAACAGAAAATTGAATGACTTAGTGAAGACTTTGTTTTATGATAACTAAAACAATACAAATCTTCCTAATATAATTGATATGCAGATGCTGTACGGTAGCACAAAATTGTCTTAGTCTTGGTTTACAAACGTCCAAGCAATGAAATTTATGTGCGATTAAAAGTATGTTATATTTTATTAAGTCATTCAATGGCGTTATTATTTTACTTCAATTTCTGAAGTTGATTGCGAGATATTTAAGAATAAAAAACACTTCAGGAATACTTTTTGCGCAAGCCAAATATCTTTACTGTTATAATCAATAAATTTAAGAAACAATTTTACTCACATATGCCGTATGTCCCTGCCTCATAATACTTTTAGAAAAAACAAGCTTCTTCAATGACAAGGCGTCAAAGTGTCAAGAACTTTCCGTGGTTGATATGGCATGTGATCATAAGTAATGTGAAGAAAATATGAGACCTGTACTCAATAATTATAATATTTATTTATAACTTTATTTATGAACATTATTAATTGTTTGTTAACTTCCCGCGGTTTGCAGCAACTATCGTAGTTTTAACAAATTATAGAAATTAACAATTTTTCAACACTACAAATACTTGAGATTTGCAATAAAATACATTGCTATCTACACTTCATAATGCTTTAATTCAATTAATCATTTAAATAGTATATTGAAATGAGTTTTTTATGATCAATGTTTACTGGCAAAAACGGAACAAAAAGGTCAATGCATATAATGTTTTTACTGCCTTTTCAGGATTACTATGTTACCGATTGTCGCTTGCCAATCTTCAGGTAAAATTAAACCTCATGTCACATTGACATAACCAGCATAAAAAAACAAGTTATTTTAAACATCCTGCTAACCAGAAGATTTCTAAAGTGAACAGATTTTAGAATCAACATTGCAATAATAAACTTGCATGCTAGCCACGTCTCTGAGGCAAACACGCTCGGTATGATATTGAGTGAATTATGATTGAAAACATCCATTTTTTTATTATGTATCTATATGTCCTGGTGGACATTTGCATCTGCAAAATATCTTTAAAAGAAACTTCAGAAACATTAGTAGGAAATTTTAAACTTGTTTTCATACTTGCAGAGGACTAATTCTGCAAGGACAGTATGCTGGCCAAAAGACAGCAATTTGATAGGAACAAACAAAAACAAAGAGCATACTTCCGTCGCTGTAACTATGTGTCAAGTAATTTGATTAAAATTTTCTTTAGGTAGAACTATGATTCAGTATTGAAAGCAAGCTAGCAAAAGACCATAAATTTATATGAAGAAAGGTGCTTTTAACACGAAAAAATCAGGACAATTCAATTAATTTTATCAAAACATGATTACTGGCTATTTAAACGGTAAGGTCAAATATATATTCTCTAAGCATGTTTAATGTAATAAGCGAATTAATTTATATAATAAATGGTTAAAATTTATATTTAATGAAAGTATGTTTACAATTCTCACTTTTCAAAGCTTCAATAAGATATTTTGCACCTTCATCACCTATATTCTTACTATAAAGAGCCAATTCATTAAGTTTACAATTCTCACTTTTTAAAGCTTCACTAAGATATTTTGCACCTTCATCACCTATTTTGTTATGAGAAAGAGACAATTTAGTAAGTTTACAATTCTTACTTTTCAAAGCCTCACTAAGATATTTTGCACCTTCATCACTTATTTGTTTTGAGAAAGAGACAATTTAGTAAGTTTACAATTCTCACTTTTCAAAGCTTCACTAAGTGATTTTGAGCCTTCATCACCTATATTGTTAACATTAAGAGACAATTCATTAAGTTTACAATTCTCACTTTTTAAAGCCTCACTAAGATATTTTGCACCTTCATCACCTATATTGTTATCGCGAAGATATAATTCAGTAAGTCTACAATTCCCACTTTTCAAAGCTTCACTAAGAAATTTTGCACCCTCATCACCTATATTGTTATTATTAAGATATAATTCAGTAAGTTTACAATTCTCACTTTTTAAGGCCTCACTAAGATATTTTGCACCTTCATCACCTATATTGTTAATACTAACAGGCAAATCAGTAAGTTTACAATTCTCACTTTTCAAAGCTTCACTAAGAGAGTTTGCGCCTCCATCACCTATTTTGTTTTGAGAAAGAGACAATTTAGTAAGTTTACAATTCTCACTTTTCAAAGCCTCACTAAGATATTTTGCACCTTCATCACCTATATTGTTATTATGAAGATATAATTCAGTAAGTTTACAATTTTCACTTTTCAAAGCTTCGCTAAGAGATTTTGCACCTTCATCACTTATATTGTTAGAACCAAGAGACAAGTCAATAAGTTTACAGTTCTCCGTTTTCAAAGCTTCACTAAGATACTTCGCACCTTCATCTGCTATTTTAGTATTACTAACATCCAATTTAATAAGTTTACACTTCTTGCTCTTCAAAGCTTCACTAAGATACTTCGCACCTTCATCTGCTATTTTAGTGTGACTAACATCCAATTTAATAAGTTTACAATTCTCACTTTTTAAAGCTTCGCTAAAACATTTAACCTCTTCAGCAGTTACAATGTTTTTAAGAATATAGAGTTCAGCGTATTTACAATTCTCACTTTTTAAAGTTTTGCTAAGAGATTTTGTATTTTCATTGCTTAATGTGTGAAAGTGAACGTCAAGTTCAGTAATTTTACAATTTTCACTTTTTAAAGCTTCAGAAAAAGATTCAGCCCTTTGTTTACTTATGTTGTTGCCACAAATCTTTTATTTAGTAAGTTTACAGTTCTCATATTTCGTAGCTTGAATAAGCAAATTAGCACCTTGATCTTTAAGTTTATTAAAACGAATATCCAATTCACTTAGTTTACAGTTTTTAATTTTTAAAGCTTCACTTAGACATTTAGCACCTTCTTCACCTATAATGTTTTTTCTAATTTCCAGTTTACTATGTTTACAATTTTCACTTTTCAAAGCTTCACTAAGAGATTTTGCAGCTCCATCACCTATTTTGTTTTGAGAAAGAGACAATTTAGTAAGTTTACAATTCTCACTTTTTAAAGCCTCACTAAGATATTTTGCACCTTCATCACATATATTGTTATCACGAAGATATAATTCAGTAAGTTTACAATTCCCACTTTTCAAAGCTTCACTAAGAGATTTTGAACCTTCATCACCTATATTGTTAACATTAAGAGACAATTCAGTAAGTTTACAATCTTTACTTTTTAAAGCCTCACTAAGATATTTTGCACCTTCATCACCTATATTGTTAGCACTAACAGGCAATTCAGTAAGTTTACAATTCTCACTTTTCAAAGCTTTACTAAGTGATTTTGCACCTCCATCACCTATTTTGTTTTGAGAAAGAGAAAATTTAGTAAGTTTACAATTCTCACTTTTTAAAGCTTCACTAAGAGATTTTGAACCTTCATCACCTATAATGTTAACATTAAGAGACAATTCAGTAAGTTTACAATTCTCACTTTTCAAAGCTTTACTAAGTGATTTTGCACCTCCATCACCTATTTTGTTTTGAGAAAGAGAAAATTTAGTAAGTTTACAATTCTCACTTTTTAAAGCCTCACTAAGATATTTTGCACCTTCATCACATATATTGTTATCACGAAGATATAATTCAGTAAGTTTACAATTCCCACTTTTCAAAGCTTCACTAAGAGATTTTGAACCTTCATCACCTATATTGTTAACATTAAGAGACAATTCAGTAAGTTTACAATCTTTACTTTTTAAAGCCTCACTAAGATATTTTGCACCTTCATCACCTATATTGTTAGCACTAACAGGCAATTCAGTAAGTTTACAATTCTCACTTTTCAAAGCTTTACTAAGTGATTTTGCACCTCCATCACCTATTTTGTTTTGAGAAAGAGAAAATTTAGTAAGTTTACAATTCTCACTTTTTAAAGCTTCACTAAGAGATTTTGAACCTTCATCACCTATAATGTTAACATTAAGAGACAATTCAGTAAGTTTACAATTCTCACTTTTTAAAGCCTCACTAAGATATTTTGCCCCTCGATCACCTATATTGTTATCACGAAGATATAATTCAGTAAGTTTACAATTCCCACTTTTCAAAGCTTCACTAAGATATTTTGCACCCTCATCACCTATATTGTTATTATTAAGATATAATTCAGTAAGTTTACAATTCTCACTTTTTAAGGCCTCACTAAGATATTTTGCACCTTTATCACCTATATTGTTATTACTAACAGGCAATTCAATAAGTTTACATTTCTCACTTTTCAAAGCTTCACTAAGAGACTTTGCACCTCCATCACCTATTTTGTTTTGAGAAAGAGACAATTTAGTAAGTTTACAATTCTCACTTTTAAAAGCCTCACTAAGATATTTTGCACCTTCATAACCTATATTGTTATCACGAAGATATAATTCAGTAAGTTTAAAATTCTCACTTTTCAAAGCTTCACTAAGAGATTTTGCACCTTCATCACCTATATTGTTATTATGAAGATATAATTCAGTAAGTTTACAATTCTCACTTTTTAAAGCTTCGCTAAGAGATTTTGCACCTTCATCACTTATATTGTTAGAACCAAGAGACAAGTCAATAAGTTTACAGTTCTCCGTTTTCAAAGCTTCACTAAGATACTTCGCACCTTCATCTGCTATTTTAGTCTTACTAACATCCAATTTAATAAGTTTACACTTCTTACTCTTCAAAGCTTCACTAAGATACTTCGCACCTTCATCTGCTATTTTAGTGTGACTAACATCCAATTTAATAAGTTTGCAATTCTCACTTTTTAAAGCTTCGCTAAAACATTTAACCTCTTCAGCAGTTACAATGTTTTTAAGAATATAGAGTTCAGCGTATTTACAATTCTCACTTTTTAAAGTTTTGCTAAGAGATTTTGTATTTTCATTGCTTAATGTGTGAAAGTGAACGTCAAGTTCAGTAATTTTACAATTTTCACTTTTTAAAGCTTCAGAAAAAGATTCAGCACTTTGTTTACTTATGTTGTTGCCACAAATCTTTAATTTAGTAAGTTTACAGTTCTCATATTTCGTAGCTTGAATAAGCAAATTAGCACCTTGATCTTTAAGTTTATTAAAACGAATATCCAATTCACTTAGTTTACAGTTTTTACTTTTTAAAGCTTCACTTAGACATTTAGCACCTTTTTCACCTATATTGTTTTTTCTAATTTCCAATTTACTAAGTTTACAGTTTTTACTTTTTAAAGCTTCACTAAGATGTTTAGCACCTTCTTCACCTATATTGTTTTTCCTAATTTCCAAATCACTAAGTTTACAATTTTCGCTTTTTAAAGCTTCACTAAGATGTTTTGATATATTACTAAAACGACAAGAGTTAATTTTCAAAGAAAATACATTGCATGCTGTTGCATTTGACAAATATTTTGACAATCTAACGACGCTATGATTATCAGGAAATTGGCATGAAAAAAACTTGACTTTTTTAATCGTCGGCATTCGGAAAGAAATTCAAAGAAGGCGTTTGAATGAAGAGGCGTGAAGGAAACGTTATCAATGGATATTGTTTCAGAGAAATTATTTGACTCGCAAGCTGATCTCATCTCATCGTCGTCATGTAATTCGTATAAGCATTTCATTCCAAGAAAACCAAGTACTTTATTACCCTCAGAGAAAAATAAATGTGAGATCCAACTTTCTAACCTGTAATTATAAAAAATATCGTATTGGGAAACTTTTAGGAGTTTAGTTTAAATTGTTCAGAAAAATAAAACACTTAAGAAAAGCATCTTGAAATAAGAAGTTTTTGTAAAACCACTATGGTAACAATAGCTAGCCATAATCTTTTAGTAGCAAATTAAAATAAATCACATAATGCACTTAACGTTTACCAAAGCCAAGTGCAAATTAATATCACATGAAAGTAAAAACTCCTTGCTGCTTGTCACAACAGCCAGTTCAGTTGCGTTGGCAGCGTGATAGTTAACTGCATGGGAGAGGTGAGAGGGGTCAAAATTCATTTAGGCATGTCTTGATTAATTAATTCGCCGAAAACTTCATTTAAAAAACAATTTATAATTGTATATCATGTATGTACTTATATGTGCCTCCTACCGTACGGAGCAAGTTTATAAGAAGCAAAATATTTGTAAATTTACTTAAACAGTAGAACCTGTATTAAGCGGCACCGTATTAAGCTGTCACTCTGTTAAGCGGTTATATGGCAAAGTCCCGTAAATTTTATGGTGTAAATACTATTAAAGTGACCTTTTATAAACGGTCACCTCTATTAAGCGGTTGCGGTCACCTTTTCCAATGTCGCAAACCTATTTTTTTATTGTTTGAAAGTGTATTAAACAGTCAGGTTAAGTAAATACACCCCATTATAAAATATATAATTAAATATTTTTGTTGGAACATATCACTTATATTGTATACATATCTTTATATTGTATTTATCTTCCGTAAGATGACTCAAAAGATCCAACAGTATTTTCTGTTTGTGTGGACAATTACACCAACAATTTAAAGTTTCATACGTCCCTTTGGCCATTGATAAGAAAACCTATGGCCACAAAAGGGATATACGCACGGAATATATAAGTTATAAACACCTTCTCTGTTTACACACGCTTGCCAATGATTATTTTTCAGTAGTTTGAGCCGTGACATTTTTATGTACACTTTTTTAAATTTCTAGTTCAAATTAAGAAAAAAAATGCTTTATATAGTATTGTTATTTGATATGTTAAGGAATAATACCGATAGGTCAACTTTAGTTTGTTAAATATTATACGTAGCCTGTCTGGTGCCATTCCTAAAAAACTATAATAAGCAGTCAACCTGTATAATACAGTGCGAAACGAGCACCTTTTTAATGGGGGAGAGGGGGTTAGGGCTGCTGGGGATGAAATTGCCCTGCAAGGACACAAGATGCCCTGCACATCATATGGAACAGTACTTATTCAATCATAAAATATTGGGTTGATTGAACAGATTTTCACTATATATTTCTGTAATACATGTTGTATTCTTGTGGCAAAACGCACTTTAGCGTATTATTAAATCTTTAATGGCATTTTTCGCATCTTTGCAGTTGCCCAATTTTTTAAATAACATATTTAAGTCAACATTGTCCGTTAGATCTTTTTCACATGCAAGAAGGATTAAGTCATTTAATCGCGTATCTTTCCTTGTGGATCGCAAGTAGTTTTTGACAATCTTAAGCTTGTTGAAACACCTTCATCTTTTGCCACGGACACTGAAGCGGTCAGCAATAGTTGATACGCCCTGCACACCGTTGGAACGACTTTTTTGTGTTTGAAAGCAAATAACGCAATGTCTTGAAGGGATTTGGGCTCTGATTTAATTTGTGACGACACAATATTATTGAAAATTTCCAACTCAGACAGCAGTATTTCTGCATCAACATCTTTTACCGCCGGTGGAAAAAGACTACACATTTCATTAACTGTTTCAGCCTTCGGCCTTTCTAGCGCCAGCTGTAAGCTCTCTCCAAGAGGTTTTATCTGGTGGATGCAAACTTTAATGTTATCGGTATACTCGGTAATAAGTGAGTCTAGAACAAAGTACATTTCCCTTCGGTAGAAATCTTTAAATGACATTTCTGTTGTTATTTCGGAATGCTCGCCAAATCGTTCGGGTGGCTTTCTTGATCGATGATGACGCACGTCTTGTTAATGTTCTGATTGTGGTGGCTTTGTGTGATGTAGGGTTGTAAGACGATTGGTCTAGTAGTCGGTCAGTGTGTGTTTGCTTGCGATAAACTGTTGTTCGTAGTTTTTGATTGTCATGTTTTGCCAAACAGTCAAGAAAAAGAAGAGTTCCGTTTTCTTCAACATCTTTGGTAAATTGTATGTAGCTGTTCTGTTTGTTGATGTGGGTGTGAAAGTCATCAATCTCGTCTGCATGTATTGCTGTGATTGTGTCATCTACGTAGCGGAACCAAAAAGGGTATATTACCAACCTGGACGATCTATATTTACAAACATGCAACGATACTCCTGGGTTCAAACCATTTACCTTAAAATGTCCGCCAAAACAAGAAGAATTTTATAAACGGAAAGTTTCCTTGATGCGTACCGTTTAATGTTCACCGTTTACCATTTTCCGTTCATACCATAGATATAGTAGGTCTAGATCGCTGACGAGCCGCCACATTGCGTGGCATTCATGATAAATCCAAGATGGCGCGGGAACCGGGCAAAATACATAGATGTACTCTAGGGCAATTGATGTTTTTTGCAATTAACTTTTTCTTATTGTTTTCAAACTCTTCCGATAAAGTTTTATTGGAAACAATCGTTATTGCAAGTGTTTTGAAGCCGTATTGGACAGTTATTATTAAAATACGGGAAAATATCACTTTCGAAATATTATGTAAATTGGTCGTTTGGTTGTCTCGAGTCGTTCGTCCACTAAAATAAACAGATTTTGTCAGCTTTAGCTCCCATACTGGTTTGTTGCGCATTGCAATATATCATATTGACAACTTATAGAAAGATGGGAAAATCAATCTGAACATTTATGACAAAAAGCAATTTATTTAGGAAGGTACTCCCATTGTACTCGTACTGATATGTGAGATTCATCCACAGTTTAGCAAGGCCATTCAACTTTAAATGAATGGAGAGAGGAGCAAGGAGATACAAAACACTGCAGCACTATTGTTTACTGACAAGATCTGAGAAAAGCTGTTAATGTTGGCAAACATAACTGAATGAAAACTTGCCTCATCTCACGTAATTGTATCCAGGAGGATTGGCTTTACTGATGAGATCTTACAGCTAAGTTGTTATGCGAAAGAGAAGAAAACATATGTTCAGTAGCTTTTTATATTACTGGTTATTGCAAAATATGACATAGTAACATTCAATTGCATAACTTAAGATACTGTTACAATACAATTTTTGGAGAGAGTTATAAAGCTCTATATAAAGTACTTATTTTTTACCAGAGCTAAGGTGTTTATTGGATTTATATATTATCTTATGAAATATTTGATATAGATATCATTGGTGGCATAGCCAGACTGAATATTTTACTGTTGCTATGTAAATTTCACTGCATCGTTGTTCATTTCGATAAAAATCTCTTGTTTTTACAGTCAGTGAAGACAGCAACATTAGGATAGCATGACCAAATAAAAATGCAGAGTATGGCCCAGATTATTATAAGATGTAGCTGTGAATAAAATATATGTGACTTATATGCTCAATATACTTTGTTATAGTATATATATTTTATTATGCTATAGCTACAACACCATCCTTGACACCAGTTGTATCTAAACTGAGGAAGTTATTCTTATTAAATAAATCCAATTATTATTATTATCATGTTACTATTATTATTTCTTTTTCTTCTACAATGCCATTTCAATTTTATGAATAAGAATGTCTAATTAGAATCACATTGTTAACATACAACTAATAACTTGTGAGAGATAAACTGTATCATACTGCTCAGTTGGTTCATTTTATGACACCTATGTACAAAGATAAGTAAAGAAGATAAAAACTTAGGGATATTTCACCATTCAATTCATGAAATTTTGTGTAAAGAAAATTGCCATACAGTTACAGTTTTCAGTTACTTACATGTGTACAGTAAAATATTTGTACACCAGTTTTCCAAACTCTACTCCGAGAGAATAGTTTGTAAAGAAGCGCCATCTAAGCGACAAAAGCTGACAAAACTCATCCTTTTTGGAAACGATTAAGACTCTGTCTGTTAAGTGTCAACAAATATTTGAAGAATGAAAGAACGAATAGCATCTTGAAGAGAAATTTATGTAAAAAATTATGAAGATTAATTTTCTCATCTTTTTGTATGTATTCAATATGATGTATTTCAACGTGGACGAGCCAGTATGGGAGCTAAAGCAGACGAAATCCGTTTTTTTGGTAGACAAACACCTCGAGACAACCAAACGACCAATTTACACAACACTTCGCAAGCGATATTTTCGCACGTATTCCAATAGTAATTGTCCAATATGGCTTCAAAACATTATTAATAACGCTTTGTTTCCAATAAAACTTGATTGGAGGAGTTTGAAAACGCTAAAACGAAGTAAACTGCAAAAAACAACAATTGCCTAATAGTAGCCCCAAGTTTTTTGCCCGGTTCCCGCGCCATCTTGGATTTGACAAGAATATCACGCTGCCGTCTTATAAGTCTTATATTACGTCACTTTCGTCAGCGATTAAGACCTACTATATCTATGGTTCTTACCCATGAAGTGCAAATCCAGCTTATATTAAAACTGAACTATATTTTCAAATAATGTGGATAACTTTTCGCACGTATTCTATTGTTTAGTTTTGTAATTACCTCTGCAAACTCAATCGTTGCCCTGCAACGTTAACATTTTGGGGGGATTAGTCTCCCTCCATACTCCCCTTAAATTTCGTCCCTGTCTGTATTAAACGGTCACACGAGAAATCCCCATATTTGACAGCTTAAATCAGGTTCTACTGTATATAGACATAAAGGAGATTATTTGTCATGTAAAATTATAGCTACTTTTTATCTGGATCGTTTTTGCAGGCAACTCTATGCACACAAAACTTTTTACGACGTTTGTCTCTCTTTCAAAACTCTCTTCTATTAAAAACTCATTTTCAAAACATGTGTCTTTAACCTACAGATTTGGCAAAAAGTACCCCCCCCCGTATGTAAAATTATCGATTTAGGTTTTAGTTTGGGTCTCTTTATTCTCAGAGAAATGATGACGAATATATGAAACAAAAACGTACTGTTAATAATCGTGAACAATAATTTTAATCTCACATTCAAACTCAACTGAAAGAGCAATAACATAATAACATAACAGCAACCATATTGTTGATGTCATGCCATTGTTGATTCGGAAGTTTGTAAATTGCAATTACGATGTTGAATGTTTAGCATACTGGCAGCACCACCAACATGTTTTCACAAAAGATTAATGCTAGCATAATGCACAAGCCTAGTTTTCATATAGTTGGAATTTTTGTTACTAAATGGGATTTATACCCTAAAGTACAAAGATTCTTCCCTGTTCTCAATTTAAAAAAAAACACGTACATGCGTTAGCCTACTGTAGTTAGTGTTCTTAATGGCAATATTTAGTCGACGATTTTTTTTCATGCACAAAGAAAACTGCTCAATTTGTTTATTGATTAAATCGTTATTTATTTTAAAATACAATTATCCACTACGAACATTATGATTTTGTTGACAAAAAACTGTGCTAATTTTTTCTTTTTTAAAGCTTTACTCCATATTGACGTTGAAACTCAAAATTTTCCTGGAAAGTATGTTCCCAGAACCTCCAAGATGGCTAAAGCTTCTGGCGCTTCTTGAATTACGTTTCAAAAGTCCTAGATCAGTCCCTGCTGCGTAGCAAATAACACTGTGCAACACTCAAAAAAGTACAGAAAATCTGTGGTCATTTTTATATGCACAATAATATGAGAAATTCATGTCTGGCCTTCGTTTTGTTGAATTAGGCATAGATTTTTCAAAATTTGCCATTACTGAAATTCACGACTGTGAATTTCAAAATTCACAATTAATATTTTAATCTATGCCTAAACAGAGTTTTGGATTCACCCGTGTATGGGATGCACATATATTTATGATATTGCTCAAAATAAATGTGGGATAGTATAGTAAAGGCAAGTAGGGAGGGGAGGGTTGTTAGACAAAAGGGACAGTAGGGAGTGGAGGGTGGGTAGACAAAGCATGACAACACATCAGCCATATTTGTTTTCACTTGCGATGTATATGTTGTTTGGTTTTAATCTGTTTTATTTAATGTTATTATGGCTCTTTTCATATGCTTTAGTACGTTTATTTCAGTAATGGCGTCAAAAATGGGATACTGACGACTTTGCAGTCCATAAAGTCTATTAAAATGCTTTTATTTTATTAAATTTTGATTTTTAAACACGTAGGTAGTTTAATTAAAAAAATTTAGTCTGTGAAAATATATAATAAATGATGTTCTGCACTTTTCATTTTTTTAAATTCAATATAAGTCAGAAAAATGTAAAATATTAATTGTCAAGGTTTTTTTTAATTTTTTATAGCTCAGAACCTTATTTGATAATTGTCTTTATTCTTTAGATTTTGGCTTTGACGATGACTTCAAGACAGTGCAAAAATGATCCAAGCAAATTCTGCTACATATGTGGCGAATTAACGTTTGCTAAAGAAAGGCGCAGCATTACCAGGAATATCAAGAAATTGTACAAGGCGTACTTTCATTTTGATATGGGAGACCAAGACAAGCCATGGGCTCCTCATGCCTGTTGCCTTACATGTGTGAAAACATTGAGCGCATGGTATGCAAAAAAGAATGTTCACATGAAGTTTGGTGTGCCAATGATTTGGCGAGAGCAGAAAGATCATTCTAATGATTGCTATTTTTGTCAGCAAGATTATACGGGCTGTACAACAGCGAAAAAAAAGAAACACATTGTTTACCCAAATTTGCAATCAGCAATACGCCCAGTTGAGCACTCAAAAGAATTACCTGTACCAAAACCCCCTGATCAGGAAATGTGGAGTTCAAGCAGTGGGGATGAACATTACAGTGATGAATCAGTAGAATTTTCTAATTCAGAAAGCAATAATAAACCAATACTATTTTCTCAAGACGCTCTAAATGACTTATGCAGAGATCTTTATTTAACCAAAGACAAAAGTGAACTTCTTGCATCAAGGCTTAAAGAACGAAATCTTCTTAGAAAAGGTGTGAAAATAACATTATACAGAAAACGTGCACAAAACTTGCATTTTTTTGTTCACTTTGAAAGATGATTTATGTTTCTGCAATGACATTATTGAACTTTTTGAACAACTGGAAATACCATATGATAACACCAACTGGCGACTTTTCTTAGATGCATCCAAGGAAAGTATAAAAGCTGTTTTGCTTCACAATGGGAACACCCTGCCACCTGTTCCTATAGCTTACAGCACAACCATGAAAGAATCATATGAAAATTTAAAAACTATTTTAACAAGCATAAAGTATGAAGTCCATAAATGGCATGTTTGTGCAGATTTCAAGGTTATAGCCATGCTCACTGGCCTTCAGCCAGGCTATACTAAATTTTGTTGCTTCTTGTGCTTGTGGGACTCTAGAGCAAGAGCTGAACACTATGTACGCAAACACTGGCCCGCTAGAGATGAAATTGAGCAGGGAAAACATAACATCAAACACAAACCACTTCCGCAAAGTGATAGAATCCATTTACCACCTTTGCATATTAAGCTCGGTTTGTTCAAGCAGTTTGTGAAAGCACTAGACAAGGATTCCTTGGCATTTGCATATCTTGCAGAAAAGTTTCCTTCATTAAGTCAAGCTAAAATAAAAGAAGGTATCTTCGTAGGTCCCCAAATTCGAAAAATTGTTCTTGATGAAATTTTTGACACACATCTCACGAGAAAAGAAAAATGTGCCTTTGAGTCATTCAAGAAAGTTTGTGATAACTTCCTGGGAAAACATCGTTCAGAAGACTATGTGCAAGTTGTGAATGATCTACTGCGTCATTTTCATGATATGGGATGTAACATGTCTCTAAAAGTTCATGTGCTCCACTCTCATTTGGATTTTTGCTGAGAATCTTGGCCATGTGAGTGATGAACATGGCGAAAGGTTCCATCAAGATATTTCATTAATAGAAAAACGTTTTAAAGGAAAATGGAACACTGGTATGTTGGCAGACTACTGCTGGAATTTAAAAAAGGATGATGACACTCTACACAAGAGAGTTAAGAGGACAAATGTTGTTTAAACTGGTGATTTCGTTGTTTTATATATATATATGTTTTTTTAATATATAATATTACAGTACATGAAAATGGCACCTAATCCAGAGAAATAAATGTCAGATTTGGAATCAGCATACTTTTCTTACACCGAAACAGGTCTTATATGTCTTGTACTTTTTTTTCACTTCAATTTTGTTGCACAGTGTAATTTCTATCTGCTGATTAGAATAATTAAATTTGTTGCCAATTGCTATTGCCGATTAGCGTTAATTCCCACATCATTTGTTTTACGTCAGTGATTGCTTTTTCTGTGATTAACTTACAAATACAACTGTATGGGAACAAAGATTTACACACTGAAAAATTGAGTTTTTTTTGTGAATATGTATGAGATGCTCAATAACATGCTAGGTTTAAAGAAAGTGCTATTGACATACTCATTAATATACGAGGTTTGAGTAACACGTTTGTAAATGAAGATCGTCCAGATTAGTAGAGTTCTGAGAAGACTGTTGGTACTGATGTAGGCCGACCTTTCGACAACCTTACCGGTAGTCATCTTCAGTGTCAAGTAAGGAGTAAACGTCCGGATAGCCTTATTTGTTATCTTTTTCTTACGCCATCATATTGTGTGTACAGAAAATGTGTGGATTTGTGGGTTTCAATTGTGTATTTCATTTGCGTTTGTGTATTTTATTTTGTGTTCATGCATTTTTATTTTGCGCTTTTGTATTGGATTTGCGCTTGTGTATTTGAATTTGTAAGTATTTCGCTACCAAATTAAGAAATTTATAGTTTGAACTGCATAAATTAGTTTAAAAAATTAAAGTCTACGAGAATTAAAACATATTTTCATATGCAGGTATTTCAAATACTTAAAAATAAATATCATACCTGTTTGTAACAACACTGATGTCTTTCATCTTTTCACTTTTTTTTGTATCTCCGACTAAACCAGCAATAAACTCTATGACCATGTACCATTTTGGATCTTCGTGATAATCGTCTAAAAACTTTCCAATGTTTTGCCAATCGTCAACAATACACCATGCAGCAAAGAACTCTTGAAGAGTCAAATGTATGAAACAATAAAGATTGCGTCGCTTGTCTTGTATCTGATGAAAGAAGCCGCAATTAACCAATTGAGGTGACTGTGAGAGATTCGAGTCTTTAAAAATCCAACTACCTTTCTCAATACCCTTTTTCGCAAGGCTTTTAATAACATGCAAGTCTTTCTCAAGTTCCTTTGGCAAGTCATCGTCAAGATAATCCTTTGGCAAAGATTTACCTCTAAAACGAGGATGGTGTCTCCAAAACAAAATTTTTACTGCTCTTTTGTACAATTCAGTTGTAGTCTTTGGAATATCCTCTGCATTATTTACAAAGCATTCCTTCAGGGTCAAACAGACAATGTAAGTGTTGACGGGAATATAACACAGGCTACGAAGTTCAATAGAATTATCAATACAGTTTAAAATCAGCTCAGTAGTTTCATTGTCTTCACTATTAAACTTTTGGACATATTCTTTAATCTGATCTTCAAAGAACCCCAAGATCTCTACTTTCCTGTCAAACTTAAGAAGATCAAAAGCGCGTTCAGCGGTGGGTCGTGATGTTACAAGAACAGTTACATCTTGCAGAAATTTATGACTAACCAACATACTTAATAATTTGAACGCTGGCATCTCAGCAGCAGCATCTACTGGTCCATCAGTATTTAGAAATTCGTCAAAAGGTAGCTCATCAAGACCGTCAATGATAAGGACAGTTTTTTCTGGATATAAAAGAATAAAATTGTAGGATTGTAAGAAATGTTGATCTGACAATCCATCACAGTATTTTAACATGTTTTTCAAGCTAATGTCAACACTGTCAAGGGCACGGCATCGCAATAAAAGAACAAGTTTATCATTCCAAAATTGATTTGTAGTATTTTTCCATTCATACATAAGTTTTTTTGTCAACATAGTTTTACCAATTCCTGGCCTTCCGACGACTAAAATTGATCTTGGATACGGTTGACTTTGTGCACGAATTGGCATGAAAATTTCGGTCCCTTTTTTCAGTTTTTTAGCATCGTCTGTAATTTGGAGATGACAATCAAATATTTCATGTCTGTCAAAAACTTTAGGGTAAGCATTTTTTGTTTCTCGTTCCGTTTGTATTATGACGTTGACATAAATATCGTCAAGATTCTTCCAACACATTTCTTTATCACCAAAATCGTCATGTATTTCAAATAATGTGTTTCTGGAGTCAAAATTTTTTTTAATTTTTGCCAACCATTTTCGAAATCTTTCATGTTTTTGCAGCAAGTAAACAGAACAAAATTCTCTATCTGTTGTAAAAAACTTGTCATCGATAGCCAAATACGTCAACCAACACAGCTCTAAAGTTGTCAGCATCATTATAATGACGTCAACAGATGCAACAGTTTGAATCAACAATTCACTTTTATCACCGTTTGGATTTTTACAGTGAAACAAAGTGATGTTGTATGAGATAGGAATGTTGTAAGTTGACAAGAATGTTTCTTTCATTGTTGGATGCCACGAACAGGAGTAGTCAACGGGAAATTGGGCTGAGAAAAGTATTCCAACAAATACAGACAAAATAATAAAGCGAACAACCAAATAAACGACCCAAATGTAAAACGTGGTAAAACGATGAGTGTCTTCACCATTTCCCGTATATCGAGGTTCATTTTCGTCATCACTTCTTTTCGTTGGACTGAAGTGATCAAAATGTTCGACTCGACGCTTCACGTAATACGCATAAACAATACTCCAAATTAAAACAATGCCAAAATTTAAACACACTAAAAGTAAACTGAAATACTGAAAGGTTAACCCATCTTTGTATTGTCTGAAACAACTTGATTCAACGTTTTTCACGAGAAAATTTTTCTTGGAATTTGATACTTTATCATTATAACAATGAAACGATGTATCACCATATAAAGTTATTGAAAAACCAGAAACGACTATGCCAATTATACTAAAGACAAGGATTGTTATTCTTCCATACCAATTAAAACTTTTCCATGGTAAGTTTTCAAGACATTTTTCCATTATGGAATCTACAAAAATTATATTCAACAGATCATTTGTTTTGTTCCTAAAATTTGTCACAACACAAATTTTTAAAATGAGGTGAATTCAGGGGCTGTGGGAGCTTTCGACAATTGAGGGTGTCTAAATTTTTTGATCATGTTTACTACGAATAACAACAGTTTTTGTCGATTTTAACAACAATTTTTCATAGCTTTTTTATACTAAACAAAAGAATTGTTTGGTTTGATCGCTTGTTTAACTGCGCCATGTTTATTTTGTTTCCGAATGACTTGAAAAAATCAAGGAAAGTTTCTAGTTCCTTTAAATTATTGTACAAGTTTTAGGAATAATCTTGTTTTTGCAATAGTTGAAAATTGAAACCAATGATCACAGCCTTATAGAGTATAGATACAATGCATAAAATTCTGCAGTAGTATAATCTTTTTTGTAAACGGGTAAGCCACAATCCCACTATTTTTTGGTTTGATTTCTATTGACGGATTACCTCTTTGCTTTTTCGACTTAAAATCCCTTCCTACACTCAACAGCAGAGGGAAACAACATCAGTGGCGTGCGGTCATGCAAGCGTAGGCAAGCGCCGCTTGCCTAAGCATTTTACCGAACAAAAATTTTTTGGATCAATCTCTGAGCAAAATCAGTTTAAATTTTTCTGTTAAAAAACAATGTCAATGTAATCTTTTGTCTAAATTGTCTTTACAGTTGAAATGCTTGCTATTTATACGCGATTTACTGTCGTGGTTTTCGGTTTCACTTTGCTACACTTGTAAGATGAGTCAAGTGTATTAAATTAAGTGGATTAAATTAATTATTTATTAACCAAGGCAAGCGCGCTTGCCTTCGGAGCTCAATTTGAACATTTGCGCATGCGTTAATCTAGATTTGGAGGCTTCTTATTCGAGGAATATCGAGAAGGCAAGCGGCGCTTCTAAGGGCGCCGCTTGATAGCGATTGGTCAACAGTCTTGTACGCTCGCAATTTTAAACACATATCAGCGCACGAATAATATTCGTATATTCAACACATTGGACATCCGAATTATTCACGCCGTTAATGTTATCGTTTATTAAAAGATGACTGAGAGCGAAAGGTAATGTTCTGATTTCTAATTCAAAGTAGTAGTAGATTTCTAATTTATGTATGTAGAAGATATTATCTGTAGCATGTTATACTTTAGCGTTATATAAGTCTTAAGTATGAGCTCTGAACGTGATTTCAATGTACTAGAACGCTATTAAATTTTGTGATTATTTTATTCACTAGCAAAGAAGTTATTTACAACAGTCGTGAGTATTCTATATGTTAGAATTTATTTACAGGCTTTTTATATATTTTGATAAACAAGGTGCAGTTATTACACAGCGGATAATGTACTTGAAATTTGAGTAGTTTTACGTAATTATAAAGTTAAGTGCGTAAGTTTAAGTAGCGCGTTTGAGTAAGTGTAGGATTGGCTATTTCTTCTATTGCTAATACATGAATCTAGATGAGTAATGTACGCACGTTATGTACGTCACTACAAGATATCATGTAACTGATGTAAGGTATAAATAAGATTGATGTTCCTATAAAATATATAGCATAGGAATTTTCATCCTTTTATGTTCTACTTCTACAATTCGGTATTTTCACGACACCTGTACAACATGACTGAATGCATTGTGGAATCACTGTTATCCCGCTCATTTGGATTGAGACCTTTTCCGAGAAACGAGAGATCGTCGAAGGTGGCCGTCCCACTCCTGAGTTGCAAGGACTACATACAACATCCAAGCGAAGTGGTAAAGTCTTTATTCGAAGTTTTCAGACGTCAAATTACGACAAGTACAAATGGCTGGCTGGCTCCTCAAAATTGAATAAGTTATTTTGCTGGCCGTGTCTTTTGTTCAACTCAACAGACAAGACAGTCTGGTGCAAGAAGGGATACGATGATTTGGCCAACCTGTGTAATGCCGTCAACAGACACGAGAAAACGAAGACACACTTGTCCAGTTGCCTAATGAATGCCAGTTTTGGGCGTACACGCATCGACATGCAGCTAGACGAACAGGCCCGTCAACACATCTCAGCTCACAACTTGATGGTGCACAAGAATAGAGAAGTACTTCGCCGTTTCATTGATGTTGTTTGCTTTCTTGGCAAACAGGAACTTTCTTTCAGAGGTCGGGTGGAGCTGGAGGAGTCTGCCAACAGGGGCAATTACGTCGAATTGATAAAACTGCTAAGTGCATATGACCCCACGCTTGAACAGCATCTTCATACAGCAACCGTGTTTTCTGGACTTTCTAATCGTATCCAGAACGATTTGATTGTTGCTGTCAAGGACGTTATGTTGAAAGCAATAAAAGATGAAGTGATGAGGAGCCCATTTGTCGCTATTTCCCTGGATGAAACCTCCGACGTTAAGACCTTATCGCAGCTAACAACTATAGTTCGCTATGTCAACCCAGATGGTAAAGCTGTGGAGCGCTTTCTTGGATTTACCGATGTAAGTGAGGATAGAACTGCGGCTAGACTGAAACAAGAAGTCGGTAAAACCCTGAACGAGTACGGATGCGGCGAAAACTGATTGCCCAAACGTATGACGGTGCGAGTGTGATGTCAGGAGAACTGTCCGGTTTGCAAACACGAGTAAGAGAAGACTATCCACATGCTCTTTTATCCACTGTTGCGGACACGCATTAAATTTGGTCCTTGTTCAAGCTGTCTCGTCAACTAAAGAGTGTCGTATATTTTTTAAAACCGTCACTGGTCTTTCATCCTTTTTTCACGCCTCGTCCAAGAGAACATACCTGTTGGACACAGTTGTCGGCAGACGCATTCCCACTGGAACAGCTGTTCGATGGCACTATCAGAGCAGGTTAATCCATGCTGTACTGGAGACAAGAGCAAAGCTGCTCGAAGTTTTCGAATACATCATCGAAAATGATGACGAGTTTGACGGTACGACGTTAAACGAAGCGAGGGGCTACCGACAAGTTCTTGCAGATTTCCAGTTTGTGTTCTGCCTTAAAATATTTTCAGAAATATTTGGTCTTACGGATGTTTTGTATAATATCATTCAGAGTAAGCAGTTCGATATTGTCTTCTGTGTCACGAAAGTTCGCGAGACGAAAGATAAGATTCAAGAACAACGAACAAAATTCGTAGATTATTGGAATTTTACGTCAAGTATCGTCAAAGTAGCACTGAAACGCGGGCAAAGTGAAGAGGATGTAAAGGCGTCCTTCCGTCAAATGTTTTTCTGTGTAGTCGATACCATTGTCGTGCAGATTGACTCTAGATTCGAAAGTCTTAACAGCAGAGCATTCGTTTCTTTGTTGGATCATTCAAAGCACGAATTGTACAGCCGGAATTTTCCCGAACGAGAGCTGCAATCGTTGCAAGATTCATATGGAACATTCTTTAATCTTCAAGCACTAAAAGTGAACTAATCGTTGTATACGCATCTGCCGAGCTCAAATCGAAACCTGTTTTGATATGATATCAAAATAATCGAACTTGACTTGAAAGCCTGTTTTCCAGAGGTGTACCGATTGTGTCAGCTCATTCTTACTATGCCAAGTACGTCCTCCTCTGCAGAAAGATCATTTTCGGCTCTCAAGCCTATCAAAACGTATCTTCGCAGTACACAAGGGCAAGAGCGACTTTCTGCATTGGCTACAGTTTCAATCGAGAAGGAGATGTTGGTAAGTTTGCAGGGGAAGCCACGATTCTATGAGGACGTTATAAAGGAGTTTTGCGCAAAGGAAAGACGGATGGAATTTACATTTAAGTAAATCTGCTGTAGGATTTTGGACTATTTCGTTCTGTTACTTCTTCACTACAATAGAAATGCACGCGTAGCCATTTACTTAAAACGACTTTATATCACAATACCACATGTAATACTTTTCAAACGTAATTGTGATATATACTCTATAAAAGTTTTTGAATTTTTTAGATTTTTGCAATACTGTTTCAGTCATGACAGATACATTTTTTCGACAAAGTACTCCCAGAAATCGCGGGAAATGCGCTCCAGTAGCCTTCAAAATCCAAAAATTTTCTGGGGGAGCATGCCCCCAGAACCCCTAGATAGCTTCGCGGCATGCCGCGAACCTCACCCCCAGCGCTTGCCTATTAAATTCGGTCACCGCACGCCACTGAACAACATTGCAACAATCTTCCATTTCTAACAAGTTGAGACAGCTTTGCTTAAGGAGAATGAGTTCTTTTAGAAAATGTAATTTGTTTAAGCCATGGTATATATTTCGAGTTCAGTTACGTAGATAAACATCCTCAAGTGAGTTTATCGAAGACTAGAACAAAATATCATAAGTTTATGTTTTACCAAGATTACGTAAACGTTCTTAAAATTACCACTGCTTTACAGATAAACTGCTTTGCAAAAGAGCAATCACATTCGAATGGTAGTTGAACTTCTCAGTCAAAAGTTTCAAGAGTTACAAAGATCTGAAAACTATGGAAGTCAACATAAATCTTGGGCAGGTAATGAAAACTCTTTAGAAATGCTGAGTGAGGAAGATCGATGGATCAATTTCACTCATCGTGCATTGAATGTTATCAATCGAGAACACGTGCCCCAACAGACGTTATAGTTGCGCCTTTGGTGGCATGGAATATCAGAACCCTTTAATTTTGTAAAGTGTTTATTAAAAAAAATTGGAATCCAATTTTGTTTGATTACTGTCTACAGTACACTTGAGTGAAGAATAGCAAATTTTTATATGGTGATAAAGAATAACCTACTAGGCCTCTGTTGATACCCCTTTACTGACGATTCCATCAAAGTTAACCTGGTCTTCCATTCAAATTTCTCGCTTAAAATAAAACTTTTGGCTGATTGGAATTTGTAGTGGAACATAAAGACGGAAGTTAATTCAAATTTAATAATTTAAGAAGTTGTTTTTGAATGTTTAAGGTTGCATGCCTTCAACATGTCCTCTATCTCTGTCACTGCCTGTTTGACAGCGTCGAAGAATGGCTAGAACTAATCGTCGAAATAATGGCCGGATTGGTAACCAAAAAAGCAACTTCCTGATGAATGCGAGCTTGCTAGTCGTTGAGGTCGTTTGGAGGACTCGTATGAACTTTGGATTTCAAGCGCCCCCATAGGAAAGTCAAAACGTGTAAGGTCAGGCAATCGAAAGTTGAAAGCTTGAAGGTTTCCAGCTGGAGCATATACTCGGAGGTTTCTTGAATCGATTTGTCCGTTCATACAGAATCTAGCTTCATCACCAACAAAAACATTGCGAATGAGATTTTCATTTCTTCTCCATCGTTCTGTCAACCACTTTGCGAAATTTTACAGTCTTTGAAAGTTGTGTGGTAAATATTCATGCCGCACATGTATCCTATATGGATGTAGCAGCAAATCAGAAAATTCTGTTAAAAGTACCGGATAGTGATCCAACTCAGTTACATCTAGCAATTTTACAGAGCAGGGTCAAAGCGAGCCCGATTTCTCACTAATTTAATATCTCGGCAGATCTTCCGGTCCTGCGTCTGCCAGAATTCCCCTTGTTACGATTTAGGGTTGTTCCATTTTGCTCAAACTTTCAAACGCTGAACCAGATGGAAGTGATCTCCTGTTTTTTAACATTTTTTGATTATGTTGGCAGTAGCTGTAAGCTAATGAATAGATAAACCAGGTAATTGCTTTGACAAATATAAAATTTTCTTGATAATATACTTTGCTTTCAGTTGTATATGACTGAGGCTTGATGAGCATGTTGATAAAAAAAGGGGATTTTTTTTATTAAGGAGAAACGCGATCTTTACCACTTATTACACAGATAAGCACTTTGTCAAAACTACTTATAAGTTATAACTGCTTATAAGCACTTGCTCAATGCTCAGGTCTCGTGATTCGCATTAACACGTTCATTTACATACAGTTATATGTTGTGGTAAAAGCACAGAACAGACATCTTAACAGAATGCTCACTGAAATACTGAAAGGTTAACCCATCTTTGTATTGTCTGATTGATTCAACGTTTTCACGAGAAAATTTTTGATTTGATACTTTATCAATATGAAACGATGTATCACCATAAAGTTATTGAAAACCAGAAACGACTATGCCAATTATACTAAAGACAAGGATTGTTATTCTTCCATACCAATTAAAACTTTTCCATGGTACGTTTTCAAGACATTTTTCCATTATGGAATCTACATGGAATAACAATCCTTGTCTTTAGTATAATTGGCATAGTCGTTTCTGGTTTTTCAATAACTTTATATGGTGATACATCGTTTCATTGTTATAATGATAAAGTATCAAATTCCAAGAAAAATTTTCTCGTGAAAAACGTTGAATCAAGTTGTTTCAGACAATACAAAGATGGATTAACCTTTCAGTATTTCAGTTAGCATTCTGTTAAGATGTCTGTTCTGTGCTTTTACCACAACATATAACTGTATGTAAATGAACGTGCTCATGCGAATCACGAGACCTGAGCATTGAGCAAGTGCTTATAAGCAGTTATAACTTATAAGTAGTTTTGACAAAGTGCTTATCTGTGTAATAAGTGGTAAAGATCACGTTTCTCCTTAATAAAAAAATCCCCTTTTTTTTATCAACATGCTCATCAAGCCTCAGTCATATACAATTGCTCAGGTCTCGTGATTCGCATGAACACGTTCATTTACATACAGTCATATGTTGTTGTAAAAGCACAGAACAGACATCTTAACAGAATGCTCACTGAAAGACAAAATCGTGGTATATTTTTTCACTAGGTATGCGTGTCTTCATGCAAGATACTCCCAATAAGTATCGAATAGTATTGCACGAAAATGTTGTTTTACTAATAATTCATGTTGAAAGCAAAAGTTTGCCGAAATTTTTACCTCGAAAAGTCATCTTGGGAAGGAGATAAGGGACCGAGCTTTTGCAGTTGAAAACGATGTATTTGTAAAAACATCTATATTTTCCATTGCAATCTTCCTGAAGTATCATGCTGGAGGGCGTGTCTGCTTAGAATTTTTTTTCAGAAAAGTGGAGGACACGAACATTAAATGTTCCGACAAAAGTAGACCTTCTGCTAAGATATCTATTCTGTGGTAAAAGCATCAGTCAAGATTGAATTTTGTTGCAAATTATGTTAAAGTTGTGTTGGGCTCAATTATTTATTCGTGTACGTCGGAGACGATAGAGAACAATACAGAAAACATGGGTGGAACGGAAGTAGAGAGAGGAGATAACGGGAGCGAGAATGTCGAGAGAGGCGAGATATTTTGGGAGTGAGAATAAAATTGTTTAAGAAATTCAAATTTGTGATTGTAATTATTCTTCGTGTTCCAAAGACATTGGGACGGAGGTCAATTTTCGGAATACGTAGCACCTACCGACGAAGAATTGTTGTTGTGATATATTGTGAAAAATTCGTACTAGATTTTACGCGTCCCATAAACATGGCTAACGACGAAGCAAAACTCAATATAAAATTAACTCAACTGAAGTTATCTGCTCAAAGAACAGCTAAAATATTAGATTCGGGAAAGTGAGAGACTATCGAACGACAACTGAACGCACTCAAAACAACTATAAACGAAGCTGACAATTTTAAAAGAGCTGTAGAAGCAGCGAAAATCGAACGAAAAGACGACCTAGAAGAAATCGTAGATTAGAACGCGGAAATAGAAACAAAAATAAGTGAGGCCGAAGACGAAATAAACAAGCTACAACAATGGTTAAACAACAGGAAATTAGAAGAGAAAAATGACGCTCGCTAGGAGCAACTTAAATTTGAAGTGCAGCTTCAAGAAACAAAGGCTCAAGTAAATGCAAAAATTCAAAATTCAAAGTCTGAGGACTCAAAAAGAAGTGATGAAGGTACGTCGGTGCGATTACCAAAAATAAATATTACGAAAGTTGAGGGGGATTACATGGATTGGCCCAAATTTTGGGGCAATTTACGGAGACTGTGGAAAAGTCTAATATAGCTGCCATCAACAAATTCACATATCTGTGTGGATTCCTTGGGCCCTAAGTTAAGCGACGAGTAGAATCATTAGCGTTTACCACCGAAGGATGCAATGGTCTCGTGATTCGCATTAACACGTTCATTTACATACAGTTATATGTTGTGGTAAAAGCACAGAACAGACATCTTAACAGAATGCTCACTGAAATACTGGAAGGTTAACCCATCTTTGTATTGTCTGAAACAACTTGATTAAACGTTTTTCACGAGAAAATTTTTCTTGGAATTTGATACTTTATCATTATAACAATGAAACGATGTATCACCATATAAAGTTATTGAAAAACCAGAAACGACTATGCCAATTATACTAAAGACAAGGATTGTTATTCTTCCATACCAATTAAAACTTTTCCATGGTACGTTTTCAAGACATTTTTCCATTATGGAATCTACATGGAATAACAGTAGCCTTCAAAATCCAAAAATTTTCTGGGGGAGCATGCCCCCAGAACCCCTATATAGCTTCGCGGCATGCCGCAAACCTCACCTCCAGCGCTTGCCTATTAAATTCGGTCACCGCACGCCACTGTTCCATACATAGATTTCTTAAAAGTTATTCAATATTATATTTGCAAATATGGAAAATCAGCACAATAACCTTTCGCTCGATATGCGCTAGAAATTTGCAATTGGACAATTGCAAAAGACTTTTTTTTAAAAAAAGAAAGAACGCAGATTGTGTCTTTTTTCAAAATTTTAAATACAAAGAACTGCAATACAGGTTTCTATAAGTCATTAGCATTTTAACGTTTTCCACAGTCAAAAATAATACGTGTAAATGTTTAATGCCTTTACCAACGGACGTTGCCTCACCCGCAAATACACTTTCAAAAGAAATACACCTTCCAAGGTTCATTGTTCTAGCACAGAAAAACATCTAACAGAAGACCCACTTGGCTAAAATTGTGGCGTATTTTTTTCACCACGAACGCGTGACTTCCCAGCAAGATACTTTCACAAAATCCCCAGGTAGCACATGACGTTTTCTTAACGTTGGCTGAAAGTTGTATTTACGTTACGTTATGACATAACGTTAATACAAAGTTCTTACCACGTTGTTTTTCTTATTCAAATTTTAAGCACGTTGTGTCAACGTTGGTTAAACGTTAAAATTAGCATTCGGTAACGAAGTTATGTTGTAACGTTGAAACAACGTTGTCTAAGATGAACGTTAGTATAAGGTGATTTTTGGGTCGCGTGCCCGTCGTTATTGTCTGACGTTGTGTCAACGTCGGTTAAACGTTAAGATGGACGTTAGATTAAGATGATTTTTTGGTCGCAGCCTCGTTAATGTCTAACGTGGTATGAACGTTGTCTAAATGTAAAGATGAACGTTAGATTAAGGTGATTTTTTGGTCGCAGTTTCGTTAATGTCTAACGTGGTATGAAAGTTGGCTAAAAGTTAGGATTGACGTCAATTCATATTGTTTCATGTTTACGTAGTGCGTTGCATTTAATGTTGTGTCAATGTCGAATATAAAAATTACGTTGGTCGTTTTTTCTGAACATTGATATCAATATGCGTTCGCTGTATCAGCGTTAATAAAAAATAAACTTTAATAAATAGTTTGATAACGTTATGCCGCGCATGCGTCCGATGCGACACAGTTGGCGAAATATGCTATAAAAGAAACATAAATCGCTGTAGATGTTAAGAAAATTTGCGGGCTCAGAATACTATTTTGCACGTGTCTTCTGTACACTTCATTACAAGTAGCAAGTCGATATTTAGCTATTAAAATTTTTCACCCAAGAAAGAATATATATTTGATACAACACATTCAAGAACGAGCTGATCAACGTTTTCATTGTATGTACAGTGCTGTTTTGATTTTATTTGAATAAACACAGAACTTGGGCAAGGGATAATTCAACATGTATATTCACGTGTAACACGATTTCGCGGTCAATAGTTGACGGATGACCCGTTTCATTTCTTATTCTTAGCGCAACTTTAGCAAGAAACGGTGTTTTGGAACAAGTGCTGCTATATTGTAACGTGATCAAAGTAAGGTGAAATTTTATTTGTTTAGATATTGTAGTTATTGTTGAACAAAGACAATGAGGAACAATGAACGTCTTACAATGCCATTGTCGATTTGCCGTTACCCTTGGTTAAATAAAGCATACAATTTATTGTTTTTAGCCACAAATAATACCAGCAACATCTTATTTAAGTAATTTGGTGTGTTGATAAGCACAAAAAAGCTTTAAAATTTAAATGATCCAAATCGACAAAGGATGGTTGAAATGTATATGATGGATTGGTGATAAATGCGTAAAACAACAAATTTGTGTGCTACTTTGCTCATGTAGCTTTCTAGGCTCTTTGAATGATTTTGACAGAAGCAATTTGTTCTAGTTATTAAGAAAGGCCAATTTTTTTGATCTTTAGTGATAAGGCCAATTATTGATCGCCAAAATTCAGAAAAGCCTGCGGGTTATTGGCTTATTGCTGTGGACATTTAACAAATGTATTTTCATAATTCATACACTTTACTATAGCCTTAATTTTCAATTGTTTTGATAAAAACTTTGTTAATTTTTTTGTTTTTTTATAACATTAAACTCAAACGTTTTTATGATATATACGTCTGTGATGATGATTAATATTTTTTAACATGGTTTATGTGATTATGTGATTTACAAAATGTTTTTGATTAAGAATCATGAAGCCTTAAACCTTAAAATAGTTGTAGTTTCTATTGCAAATCACAGCAGTTTTCAAACAATGATATAATTTTACAAAGAGGTAATTGAATGTAAATTCATAACAATGCATGGTTACTTTTTAATACTAGTGTAAGTATCGTTTGTCCAATTATTGCCTTGGCTTTACATTTTGCAGTCCATTAAACTACTAAACCAAATTCATTGATTTACCTGATGCATGTTTATTTGAATGTAAATAGGAAATGAGTACTGGTATGTACCTGAGAAACAGTATTGCAGGCTATAAAGAGGGAAATTTCAAATGAGCTATGATTTCGAACTCTGCCAATCTGAAATTGTGTTTTTATTTGCTTTAGATGTCTACTGATACATATGCAGTTGTAGATTTCCTTGATGAGAAGTCAGTGAAAGTTATTCCCAGAAGTTGGATTGAAGCATGTGATGGTGTAGGGTTTGCTTTGCGTTATTGTTTTTATGCAATATTGTTCAATCATTCATTTTTATTTATGTGCTTGTTACTGAAAGTATATGCTATGCATGTCTACATTGGAAGATTGATATAAGTCACAATCGCATGCTATAATCTGTAAAGGACAACAACTTCCCATAGAATGTAATATGGCATATCTTAAAGATCTTCCTGAGTTTATACGTACAGGTCAATGCAATTAACTTTCATTTAATTGCCCTTTAGGTTTTGTGTTGCTATTGGCCAAGGACAAATGTCTCAGCTAGTTTAAAGAAGCTGGAATTGCGGACAAAATCTTTGGAAAAACATAAAGTCAGAATATTCACATTTGCAGGTTAATATGATGTCTTGTGATTATAGTATGAATTTTTCATTTAGGTTACATTTGTTTTGGATTTCTAGTTATTTCCATTTTGATTGTAAATAATCATCGCTATGTCTGGTGTAGAAATTTTTTATTTTCAGAATTTTTTATAAACTTGCTGCCAGCTGAATCACGTTTTCTCCACTGAAGCCTCAAAAGTGCTATAAACAATTTAATGCTCTGTTTTCTAAATTTAAACCTTTCTTTTACTTAGACAACTTTAAAAATTCCCAAAAGTTCGCTAGAAGGCCATTGCCACTTCAATCATTGAATTAGATGATGAGTCAATCAACGACAAGCCATGAAAACATCCTTGTCTCAAAAGTAGTATGGAAGAATTTTCAGATTACAGTGACATAGAAAGTAGGTTATATAGTATTCTAGATATTTTTTCTCCGAACACAACAACTTACGTACACAGTAACACAGAACAGTGTTTTATTTCTACTGTCATAACTACCTATGTGCGTATATGGCTGTAGTTAATGAAGGATCTTGTGTGTGAAACACAATATATTCTTTGAATTTGACTATGTCTTCTTTCTTAAGATGGGAAAAGATAGGATTAAGACTGAATGTATTGTGGTAGCTACTTAAATATTACATCTTTGGCAAGCATTAAATTAACCATATTTTAGTATTTTTAGTATAGCTTGAGTACTCAATAAACATTGTTATGCAATGATCGGGTATTTTTTCTCATCAGACGATGATGACAGTGATGAGCCCATAATTCAATGTTCACAGAGCCCCTCAGTTACCTCCTGCTCCACGTTACGCATCTTTTTGTAGGAACATTAAGCATTTATTGGAATCTTCTGAAAGTAATATGATAACAGCCGTCAATGAAATCTTATGAACCAATTCTAGAAGTAAGTACTGTAGTTTCAATGCAACAGGCCATTGCTTTATTCAAAGGAGTGCAGTTTTTTACATATTGCTAAGTTGCATTTAAATGTAATGAGTGATTTTACTTTTTAGATTTGCCGGTGTACAGCAAGCTGATCTCCCTTGCAGAAAAAAGTATAAGCGCAATTATAATCCTTGTACAAGCAGACAATTTTTTGACAGAAACATGCACGTATATAATTTCTCTTTTCATCCTAATTTAATGTTGGTCTAGATTTATATGATGGTGAATTAGCAGCAGAAATCCTAAACACAAAGGATCATGCAATAACTTCCACATCTACTAGTAGGACACCATCTCAGCTTAGTGGTAAGTTTTCTGTCGTCATAACTGACTAATCAGCAACTTTCACATAATATGTCGACTAAAATGTTGAAATAATTTTAATTAGTTGAAAAAATGTTAGTTATAGTTAAAATTGCAGTTGTGTTCACCACAATTTCATCAAAATACATTCGTTCAAATCTAATTGTCAGCGATCGCTATCAAATTACTAAATGAAACTTTCTCGAGGTTTTTTATTTTAGTCACCTTTCTGTTTCTTACTTTTGAAACTTGTAGTGCCTTAATTTAAATGACGTTCGTGCGTGCAATAAAGATATGCCGTAAATGCTCGAATAAGCGCCCGGGGCGCTTATTTAATTTTTGGAGGCGAGAGGGGGGCGCTAATTCGAAGGGGGGCGCTTATTGGAAGGGGGGCGCTTATTTCATTTTCGGATTTTTGACGTGAAAATGACACTGGTATTTTTATTTCTTGTGACCTTAACTGTAACATTAAAAATAACATTAACACTGTAAAAAATTAAAAATACTGTGTATCGAACTGAGTACCGAAGTTCATCTTTATCGGGGAAGGGTGGGGGTGGGGGCGCTTATTTGAGAGGACGCTTAGCAAAACCCGTCTTTTCTCGGGGCGCTTATTGGAAGGGGCGCTTATTTCAAAATTTGAGTCCTAGGGGGGGCGCTAATTCGAAGCGGGGCGCTTATTGGAAGCTGGGCGCTTATTCGAGCATTTACGGTATGTTAAACCCAGTACGTGTCTTCTCTGTACATACAAGCAACGTCTCTTCACGAGGAATTTCTACAACTGGCACAACAAGAGAAAGAAATTCAACGAAAAAGTGGTGTCTTTGGCAAGCTTTTCTTACAATTCATTATTGCATGTTATGTTATTACGTTTTTATTTACGTTCATTTCGTGTTGTTTAAAATGGTTTTTTTCTTCACAACTAACTGCAACACGTGATTGCTTTGCAGATGCGCATGAACTTTCATTGCACGAAACGCCTTCGACAAGTTTTATGAACATAACACATGCAGGAAGACGTTCTCAACCAAACATTAATGGTACCTTTTCTACAGTATATAGTTTTTGAATAGCGTTGTTATTATGTATGCGTATTCAATTAGCAATTTGATGCGAGTTTTATTTGAATTTTCTTGTTAGCATGTTGTAAGGTTTTTTATATTTATAAGATATTACGTAGGTTATACATAAGTTATTCTATTTTTTTCTTATCTTTCTTGTAGGCTTCCAAAGATCAGTTCTCACCAAACTGGAAACATTAATTGTTAAGCAAAAAGAAGCGTTGTCAATATTGCGTGCTCTGTTAAGCACTACGAAAGGTGTAGACGAGCACGAAATTTTGGAAGATGTTGTACCTAATTCCTTAGATTCGGTTGAAGAACTTCAGGACCATTTGTTACCAATTTTTATCATTAAAAAAGACTTTTTTTACCATTTGTGTTTGAAGCTTGAAAACATGCATGTCAAAGTCTGAAACGTAACTTTAATAACGATTTTCGTGACGTTAGGGGGTCAGATTATCTGATTAAACTATATGAATCTAGCATCGTGTTTTTCGTGAGAGCATTGTCGTGTTCTGATTGATTTAAATACGTTACGATACTTCAAACGGCTCAGAGGAGTGTGTCGTTTTATTTGTGCTGAAAAATTTTAACGAAGAAACTGGTTTTTCTAAAAACTCTCACCATTCACTTTGGATGGTTTTGTTTCGCAATTCGAAATCAAAATGGTTTTCTATATATATATGTATATGTCTAAATTGAACTTTTCCGTATAATTTATCTTTTACTCTCTTTACTAGCTGCAGATTTTGGTAGCACTTTGTGCAAATACCTGTGCAAACATTGTTAGAAGAGTTATGACAAAGCTGGAACAAATAATCTATGGTCTCAATATAGTTTAAAAAGCAGAAAGTCAAAGCGACCATTTTAGCACCTTGCCCTCTGCAAAGTTATAACAAGTAAGAACAATTAGACGATAACGATTGCTGCAGCAGTACCATGTTTTGTCTCTTTTTCCTCGTTCATGAATTGGAAAAACAGCCATTTATGTTGCTCCTTGTCATAAGGAATATTGTTGCAAGTTTTAAAAGCTAATACATTAAACTGTTTTGCATATGTCACTATAATGAATTGTTGTTTATCATTCAGCTTACAAAAATGTTTTAGTGTTTTATCTATACAATTTATTTTAACTATGTCTTTTCTGTTTCGTTTCACTTGTTAGAAGCCTGCCTCAAAGCTCATTAAGGATGGAGCAAGGCCAAATTTGAAGAGCAAATTGCCGAATTTTTAAAATATGCTTCAGGCAAGCAAGGTGGTTCCAGACTTAAGGTAACATGTCATTATCATCATAGATTGCTGGGTAAAGTATATAGATGCCATTTTTTCTTTGTTTGATTTTCTCAACTTACACAAGGAGAACTCAATTTATTTTACTCCGTAATCTCATAGTTAGCATATTTGTATTTTCTTGTCTGTGTAAGTTGAGAAAAATACGCAATAACATTATTGGCATGTGCACTTAAAGTAAGTGAGCATGTGTCTTTCATTGTCCTTTAATTATAAGTAAAGCAAAACGGAATGGACACATATACATAATGCGTACCTTTAAAAACGTTCATTTTAGTGCAGGTATTAGATTTGTGCAAGTTTTAAATTTTGTTAACTCAAACTGCATGATTAGATTTGTTATATACAATTTGCTTAGCGTGATATTAAACAATTATTGAATGAAATAGTATATGAATTAAGACTTATGAAGGCCAAGGTTTGTTCAATCTACCAACGCTGAGGCAGATAGAACACATTGTTGCCTTGATAATTCTTTATATTACTGTGAAAACCCAATTCAATAATTGTTTTATTATTTCTATAAAAAAGCAAGTGTTAGTTAAATGTGAAAAAGGTGCCGTAACGATTAAAGTTTTGTTCACTTGTTTTGTTTCTCGTGCGTAAGAGATGACGTTGTAGCGTGAGATAATTTCTTATATCCGACGTACGTACGTAGTGGCATTCATATAAGTGGATTTATTCGATTGCTTTTAAGTGAATAAAACTAAAAAATACTTTGATCCATATGTTTATATAAATTAAATGAAGAAGATATACATACAGCAGACGATACAGTTTTCCATTTAAATGGCATCTCTTACAGACAAATATGTCAATGTTAATGTAGGTGGTAAGACATAAAAATGATACGTAGACTACCATTTTCTAGTATTCATATATGTTATTTTCTTGCAGGTCCGAAAATGCAACTTATTGGAATCGGCTTAGTTAGCATTTTTGTAAATATGTATATTAAAACACACACAGCAAAATATATGAATTAAAAGTTGATTATATGGAAATTAAATTTTAGTTCGTATCATTGGAAAGGCTGTTTTATGATTTCACAAATAATGCATCGTTAATTGTATGTTAAATGAACGTCGGATAAACGTCAGGTAAACATTGTATGAACGTTTGCTATATGTTGTATGAAAGTCGGATAAACGTTGTATGAACGTTGTATAAACGTCGGGCTTTAGTTGAAAATACGTTACATTCCAACGTTTATCCTAACGTCGCCACCACGTTCCTACGAGTTCACCAAAAAACGTTCACTCAACGTTGGTCCCGACGTTGAGTCAACGTTCGACGAACGTTGGTACAACGTTGAGACAAGCTGGGAATGTTTTTTTGTACGTCGTTTGTATGGTGTAACGGTAATGAAAAGGAGAATTTCATCTGCTCGTGAGAGAGCTTAGTATTCACGACATATAATATGATTCCATGAGTATCGTTTGTTTCGTATTTCGCCTAAGAAATTGCTTTCTCAAACTTTGTTTTCTCTAAAGTATATTTGTAAGATGATATGGAAATTCCATCATTTCCCAAGCAAAAAACTCCTTAAAGGGGAACTCCACCCAAAAATAATGTTGGTCTTAAATCTTTGTTTGTCCCGTGAAAATAAATATGCGGCAATTTTTTGTTTGTTTGATTCAATATTTTCACGAAAAATGAGTTGAAATGCTGCAGCTAGGGCATCCGGTGCGTGGGAGCAGAAATATGTCAGCGGCTTGTATTGACGTCATATCGTTAATTGCTCCTCAAAGCTTTATGTAAAGTCATTGCACAGTCATAATAAACTTGCGTCAAAATGCTTCTCCTAATCACAAAATGTTTCTTTTCGAAACGTCAGAATTTTTTATTCGTAGGTATATACACAAGCAACTTTTATAGCTTACATGCAAGTATTGAGCTGGTTATTTGTATTCTGTTTTAATAGAACGGTTTCACATCCATAAAGGCCATTACGCACAGTTTCCGCACTACATATAGAACTTGAATGTCGATTAATATTATTTTTTAAAAAAATACGAAGGTTTCTTTGTGTGGAAATTGCGCGTAATGCCGTTTGCTTGTCCTCCGAATTCAACCTTAACAACAGTTTCCACTGATGTGAAACCAATCTATTGCCCTTAATAAACATTTCGGTTAGAAAATAATCCTACATAAAACCATTGTAAAAATAGCCTTTCGTGCATAGAATTAAGTTGTAGTTTCCTTGACGCAAAGTATGAACTTATAGTTTCCTAATTATTGTACATAATTGTATAATAATGGATTGCTAGAATACGGAGAGAAAATCTACCTCCTCTCCAATACTGTTACGTTTGCAGCGAGCACTTTGCTCCCGATTGTTTTGAATCGGACCTAAGACAGAAACTTACACCATGGCAACCTTTAAAAAGGCGACTGAAGCGGGATGCAGTACCATCGACCTTTTTATTTGGTCCTCAACCCAGTAAAAAGCGTCTGTCTAGCGAGCATCGTACAGAGAAACGTCAGGCTGACCAAGACAAGGAGGAAGTTAGTAAAAGCATTTCTTGTTAAATTTTAATCAAGAGAAAGTTATAGCCTAAAGTATATTCTAAATATTTCTATTTTTTCTATTTTCAGCTTTCAAATATTTTAGAACAATGTTCCTCCACAAGTACAAATGTTTTCTCAGTGGTTGAGCCAGAGGCAAATAACAGTTGTGATTTGGGTGCATCTGACAGTCCTGAAGCATTGCCAACTAATTATTGCAAGCCACAAACCAAAGATGCATCAACACAGTGTTCATTTGTTGTGAGGAGTTTACATGCCATGGAAGTCCAAACTACACTGTCGATGCTGAATACTGTGAATGCAGAGGTTGAAAAACAAACACCCTCATATTGATCACCAATATGATGTGTGGCATTTGTCTAAATCTGTCACAAAAAAACTATCAAAGAAGGCTAACATTAAGGGAAATGATGACTTGACCCATTGGATTAAGTCCATTTCTAATCATCTTTGGTGGTGCTCTGCAAGTTGTAACAAAAATGCAGAAGAATTGGTGGAAAAATGGAAGTCTGTCCTTAACCACATTTCCAACAAGCATTTCTGAAAGGGGAACACATATTTTCATCAATGTTGCCACCAACAATTAACAGAAAAAGAAACAAAGCAGAAGAAGTGGTTATCTCCTACTTCACAAGCATGCAGAGAAGGTGATATGTGACAAGAGGCTTCTAAAAGACCTGCCCAAAGCGAGAGCATTTTTCATTTCCTAAGATGGTAGCCCGCACTCAGTTAGCAGCATTAGATCACAACAACAATATTAAACGTGATAAAGCAGTCATTAAGTCAGGGACAAACAAAGGGAAAGACCGTTACAAAATGTTTTTTGCTAAAACACAGAGGCAATGGGTTGTAAAAGCAATGAAAGAAAAGAAAGAGTACCAGTACATTGATAAACTACTTGCGGAGGTTGTGAATGCATGAAAAACTGAGGAGATTGAACTTGTACATCATGGCGAGAATCTTCCAAAGAACATTTCTAAATCATGTCCACCCAGGAAAGAAGTACTTGTAAAGGAACATCAGTCTAGATTTGCATAAAATGTCAGTGGTGATGTTAGGCAATAGGTTTTGCCATACCCATATAATATGATGTTGAATCAGTGAAGACAACTTTTGTACTACTTAAAAAATGTTCATTCTTAAATATTAACAAAGCAAAACCTTTTGCTATAGCTAGTTTCACCACTGCATTACACAAACTATTCATGTAATTAATTATAGTTATATTATAACCAGTGTAATAGCCAAGCCACATTTATAATCATTTCTTTGTAAATCTGTTTTTTTTTGTAATAAATTAATAATAATAAATGTGCATAGCATGACCTATAAATGAGCTGGCTATGCCACTTTAATATTGACATACAAAGTAATTGTAATGGGTATATACCTATATCATAATAAAATACTTCATTCATCAACATAGTGAAAGCCTTCAAATTGAAATTCCTCTGCAAGGCCAGGTGGAGGAAATGTTTCTCTAATGCGAGTAACTGCACATGATGGCAAGATGACTCTCACTTCTCTACCCAAGACACCCCAGCACCATCTAGCCAACTGTCTATATGCAATATGGCGGTACAGTTTGTCCTCGGGCCCATCATATGCTACCTCATATTGCTGCTTGTACTGGTACCAAGCTGTTTGTAAAACCCACCTATTAAGACAAACAGGCTCAAAACCAGGATGTTGTGTAATGCACAATGGGACTTCGGTGGTCTCATTCGTTTCTACTGCCTCTAAATTTTTGTCACAAATATTGGAAATCTCTTTGCAGCATAAACATTCCTCATTATTGTCCATTATTTGGCAGTTACCACATTGACACCTGAATATGTTAAAAGAAAGGATCTTGAAAAGTAAATGTCAAAACTTCAATAAAAATTGTATCTTACAATAAAAACTTTAAAATCTAAAGTATTATGTGTGTGTGACGTGGTCAACTTCAAAAACTGAAAACGTACTTTTGAGATAGAAACAATGGTCTAGAATAATATAACATTTTACTACCCACCATTCAAGATTGTCGCGCCGAGATTCATAGTCAATATACAAAAATTCCTGTTCTTCGTTATCCTCAAACTGGTGAGCTTCTTCGTGTTCATCAGCCGGCCACTCGGGCTCAAACTGATATGGCCGAATATTGTTTGTTGGATTGTCTTCCATTTCACTATCGATTGGTGAATTAGGCCGAGGTTCATCCAAAAAAGCCATTATAAGCGATTGTTTTGTTTTTGTGCTAGGCTGTGCGTTATTATTTTACTTTGTTGTAAAGTCAACTCCAAATCGGTTTGACAATATGACGTCAAAATAATTTCCGCTGACGCTTTCTGTGCCCACGCTGCTAAGCCTCAAAACAGCTCAAATAGCGCACTTGAAGACGCGATTTTGTCAAAAATAAAATAGCTGATGTAAAAATTTCAAAAATATAGTAACCTTTGCATAAAAATGGAACTTTTAAGACCAACATTATTTTTGGGTGGAGTTCCCCTTTAACGTCCATCATTTTAAAAACTGAGTACGGCAGACAAACGTGCATGCAAAAATCAAAAACCGCTAAAAAATCTGATTGGCTAGCGAATTATTTTGGATGCGAAAAATTAAAAATTATAAGAACTAAAATTTTCGTCCAGGCGTGATGATGGCTTTGCCGTTTACGTTGCAGTTAGCAGTTAAGGTTTTAAGGGCAGGAGGCCCTTTTTGTTCTAGATAAAGTACTGCATGCTTTTTTGTGTATTTCTATTACAAAAAAGTGACTTGTGACGCAATTTAATTATTTTAAGTTAGTATAAATCATGAATATGCTTATTAAGCTATCAACAGAGTTTTAATAAAACAGGAACTACAGCTCCTGACAATGCAAATCTTAAATAACAAATGCAAAACTACGTATTAAATTCGACTTTTTTGAAGAAACAAACCTCAATGGCAAATGGATAATTTAGGATTGCCGTTTGCCGTAAACGCTAAACTAAATCTCTCTATTTGCGCTTTACAAACAACAATAAGAAAAATACAAGTATCATTTGAATATAATGCCCAATTTGACACGAGCTGCAAGAAATCGAATTTTGAGCATAATTAAGAGAAGTGCAAGTCTTAAGGCCTGAAAGAATGAGACGCCAAATTATACAAGTTGATGTAGAACGTTTAGTCAGAGATACGAAGATGAAACTTCGAATGAGAGTTTTATCTCCGTAAAAATCAGATAGTTTGTTTAATTAGAACTCAGGGAGTTGTTCTATTTTGCATATGTTATATTTTTTGTTATAATAAACATCCACACGAACTTTTAAGAAATTTACCGAAGGAAAAAAGTTGACCTAATTGGTGAATGAATTGGTCGTACAAATTTGGTACTTGAGCAACCGTGTTGCAGAAAGAAATAAAGTACGAAAATTCAGGTTAAGGATTGACGGTTGTCCGTAATCTTAACTCTATCACTTCAAATATTCCGTATCGTGAAATACCAACGTTTGGAATTCCGTCTTGTAAAAATCGTGCACAGCCACTGTAAATATCTTATCGAAATGTTAAAAACAATTGTTAAAATACAGTCCCATCATTCGAGTGAAGTTTCAGAACAGTGAACCAGACCTTAATACAGATTGTGCGAAATTTTCTATTATTAGCTGAATTTTAATGAGTCTAGTGAGAATTTTCCTATAAATCTCATCAATATTTCTCTCGGAAAACAAAACTCACCATTTCCCTCGGGAGCATACAATAAATCAAAGTGCTCCTTCTCAAGTATTGCCCCTTGCGAAGAAAGCGATGAATCAGAATCAAAATATAATGTTCAGTCATATAATTCTGACAAAAACTTTATACCGGGATACTGTATAGAGAACTCGGAAGGCAATGAAACTTGAGCAATAATGATTCGGATTTTGACTCCAATATATGGATGGTCGGAAAGACATTAATTCCAATCTCATCTTTTTTAATCCAGGGATAATTAGCGTTCTTTTTATTCTTAAAACTACTGAACTGACGCTCCAAATCTTCTGGTTTTACTTGAGCCAAACAAAGAGCTACAGCACTGAAAGGCTCAAATACGCGCTTTGCTTTAAAACACAGATATTTTGTCTTCGCTTAGCCTCGGGCCTTTTATAATTATAAGGCATAGTGTGAAGACTCATACGAGAGCTAAGGCTTGATTTATTCGTACAAATGGCTGCAATGCAACTATTTGCCATTTTTTGCTCTTATTAGTGCAAAGGCAAGGCTTTTAGACGCTTATAGATTTTAAATATGCTGCTGCAGTACTGACTTGATAGCTATTAAATACAGTCAATACACGACTCTTGTATCACGAGTACCTTGGTTGACGTTGGAAATTTAGCTAGTTTCAGCCTCCTGTCACGGTTCTCATGGTTCACAAAATACACCATTTTAGAGAAATTAATAACAAAAAATCAAACGATTTGACCAAATTCAAATCTTTTTTCTCAAAGAAGCCTAAAATCATAGACAGATTTGATATTGCTAAAAAAATGTTTGGTGGAAGAGGCACTTTAGGTGTACATTGCGCTCGCCCATTTTTGTGATGACTGAATGCTGTTGAAATTACAAACAGCGTTGAAAACTGTCTCTATCTGCGTCCGCATTACTCTCACATGCGCCGTGATTTTCCTATCTAATAACCCATCGAAGTACAATAAAACTTCGATTTAACGATAAATATGATGCAATTTTTATATTATTAAAAAAGGAAATTGAATGTGTACAAATGCAGCAATGAAAAACGAGTATTTGCAGTAATGAAATCTGTGGAAGTATTTAGGCATTGATAATAATATGAATACATTCTCTGATGACGGCTTTGGAATTTAGGCATTATCTCATCAAAGACAACTTTATATCACAATTATGGCTAAAATTATTTTTTGCTATTTTCTTTAAACATTACGTTTGTCTGAATCTTTTCGTGTTGCATGATCTTTAGTATGGCTGTAAGATTCTATGTTTACAATGACGCACATATTATATCCAGACAATAAAGAACAATTTAACGAACCTTTGCTTATATCTTTTCTTTTTTTAAGCGATGGATATCCGCGGCATCAAAACATTTACCAATCACTGGCTTCTTTTCTTCTTTACTTTGTAACCGAAAGGAAAAACACTCCGATGAAGAAAACGCGAGTCGTTGAAGACAAAGAAATAGGTCTCGCCCATTGAGTTCTATAATAACTGGAGCGGCTAAGTGGACTGGGAACTGTTGTAAAAAACATGGCGGCCAACGGACGTATTTCCGCTGAAATGATCGCTTTGCAGAAAAATAATATTCTCGACCTCCCCCTGGTGTCTATAGTAAATTATAAAGAATTTTTCAAAAACAAACACGATATCACAGAATATGGATATCGTTAGTTCCATAATCTGTGACGATTCTTTTTTGTCATTTCTTTTATAATGCCAACACTTCAATCGTTCAATTGTTGGATGTCGTAGTTTCCACAAAAAGGAACATATCGCTTCTCACAGGTGAGGTAGTTGTTTGTTTTGTTAGTCCGTCAACGATTGAAAAGCAATTATACATGCACTTGAAAAGCCATAAAATACATATTAAAGATCGTATTTTTTAAGACAGACTTGAACGCCAAATATACTGATGTTTTCCTGTTTATAAAACTCTGTATACTTGTAAAATTCTTATAAAATTCTGTATACTTTTCTGTCATTTGTTAATACATGAAATCGTAAATTTACCCATCTATTTGCAAAATAGTTTCCCTAAAGCAAAAAAGACACTGCACACATTTTGCTCTGTATCAAAAATGTGATCTGGTATCAAATAGAAATGATCAGCCCCAACGGTACCCATGATTTGGAGCAGAGCTTGTTATGTTCTATTTGCTGACAACATGCAGGGAAGATCAAGGAGTAAAGATGACTGGAAGATGTTATTGACCAGGCAGAGTCTTAAAAAATTATAATGCTGTAAAGATAATTGATTTATTGTCTTCCCTCTCCAGAGTTATTTAATTTGATTGTGGTCAAATTCTATGGATGGAGACAATAGATTCACTAAGGATGCCTTGGAATGCTTTGAAGTTAAAGTTCATGATCCAAAGAAAGATGGCAAGAAGGTTGTGTGTGTTTTGATGCTTAATGAAATGTCAATTCACAAACATGTAAAATGGAAGGCCATAAAGTTTGTGTCTATGTAAACATTTGTACTGAGATTGATGATGATTCGATGCAGATGTGAAGCTTCAAACTGTATAAGACATTGGGTTTTATGTAACTTAATGTTTAAATCATGTCATATCTTTATCAAAATATTTTAGTTGAGTGTTGTTTGAATATTAGTAATATCTAATGCACTATACTGAAGCATTAAAGATTCAGTGATGAAACCTTTAAAGTTATTGTACTGTATATTTCTTATATATTTCTTATATTTCTTCAAGAAAAATTTGAGCTTATTTACCTATTAGAGTAGAGAATGGAGATTTATCATATGCATTATTGCTGCTTTTTTAAAGAAAAGTTTTTCACTTTTCAAAGCTTTTCTACAAATTTTTTGCTTCTTATTTCTTATCATGAAATTGATGATATAGATGTAATATAATACAAAAACTTTCTAATTTCTAAAAAGCTATTAAGCTTCTAGCATAAAAGTACACTATAGGTATGTAATTCATTTGGTTTTATTGCCTTGCTATGACATATCTACTTGCACTTCATCATTCTTGTATGAACAAAACACCAGATGTGGATACTCAGAGAACAAAATGCACTACCAACTGCTTATGAAATTTATTATTGAGGTGAAGACTGTGTTAATCATTCAAATTATAGTGCACTTATATTGCAAATATAGGAAAAACAAAACAAAGTGAAAAAGTAAGATAGAAGTATTAAAACTACAAATGAATTATAAACACCATTGGAAGCATAAGTGTTTTGATGATTATTTGCATTTTGCCCAATTCATATATCAATACAACAAAATCAAAATGTGCTACAACTTCACAAGTATTTGATGCAGTTGCACTTCAGAACATCACAAAAAGGTTACTTAAAGTAATTTCTACACAATATTGTTTGTTTTTATTTGCCAAACCTATGCAGACTTGAGTCTTTTTTAAATTTCATATGAAACTCAATTACAGAAAATCCGTAAATATCCAGAGATTTAATATGTACTTTTTTAAAGAAACAAGTAAAAATCCTACAATTGTGGCGAAAAAAGCCATTGCCCATTGCATGAAAAGAAGCAAAATAGCAATGATAACAAATAAGCTGACTTCTCTCTCGTGAGCCGTGGAGATGAACTATGATATACTTTTTTGTATAGACTAAAGAGTTTAATCGATCAAACAAATTTGACGCTGGTAAGAAAACGACGCACATCTGCATTCATACATGTAGCCGACATATAGGTCTTTCGTCGATAGTTATAAATGCATCCTCGTAGGAGCAGATAACTGAACCACAGTTGACTCGCTGTTATGAATTTAAGGTTTTACCTTGATTTTCATCAAAAATTGCTTGCCGAATCCCAAATACACATATACATTTTCCTCACTCTTTCCTCAGGAGGGAGTGGGAAATTGTAAAATTTTCGGAAAAGCGGTCAATTTCGGTAAATCTCAGCGGCAACGGACGAAATCCGCCATGTTTTTTACAACATCCGATATCTAAGGCCGCGCTTGAGATAGCCGCTCCAGTTATTATAGAACTCAATGGTCTCGCCCTTTCTTTTGTCTATGAAACAAATATGTGAAACATGATCTCTGAAACATGATAGTGGCTTTGTTATTTTGGCCATCAATACTAATATTATATGTTTGTAAATGATGATCGTCCAGGTTAATAAAGTCCTGAGAAGGACTCATAACGATACTCCCGGGCCGGGTTCAAACCATTTATTTTAATGCTAATATTGTCGAAACTTGTGCATTTTCTCAACATATATTCATAATAAATAGCTTTCTTTGGTTAATTCACAGTAGAAGATTCCATTCGAGCATTTTAGAAACATTAATTTGATCAAGACGTTTATCAGTTCGTAAAAAGCAGTATTCAGTATAAAATAATTAAATTTATTTTTGAGCGGAAGTTATATGGTTTAATAATGAACGACTTGTTGTGATCTGTATATTATTCATCACTTATTACATCATATGTTAGAATTTCAGGTTTAAATGCAAACAATGGATAAATGCTCCTTTATTGTAAGTTGCTTTAAGAAACTACATTACAGCAATGTGAAAAACAATAAATTGATGAAGACGCTCATAATTTCATGAAAACATGCAGTATTCAGTACAAGCTTTTATCAACCTATTTTCGTACGGAAGTTGTATGGTTTCAGCACAAAATAAGATTACCTACTCTGTGATTTCAACTTTATAATATGATCTGCATATTATTATAGTCATCACTCATAACATCATAAATCAGTAATGTTTGGAAGCCAACCAAAAAAGAATAATTGCTCCCATTGAGAATGCATGAGTCCAATTGTAAACTTCATACTCTCATAGCTAATTTTGCTTTGAATTTTTTCGGCAGCTTGAATGAACAAATCAAATTACCAATTCATAAGTGCCCAATGATTATGAATTAAATACGACAGTATAACCTACGGTATTACTACACAAATGATGATTCCCGACCGACAATGTAGCACGTATACATCTCTTTGCAGAACATCCTTAAGATCTAAATCAGTATAAAACACACGTACTGTACATAAAATAGCATGTTCACGATGGGTCATTGAAACAAGTCGTCACTTAAGCCCGCCGCACACTGGTGAACTTGCCGCGCGTACTTGTTATTCGTGAAAAGTGCGATCGACAAAAGTTCCTAGTGTGCGCGGAAGTTTTGAACAACATTTGTCATTCGTGACAGATGAGTCTAATATCAAACGCATGTTTTAGAGTATTTTGGTGTACATGATTTAAGCTCAAATACTCCCTTTAGAAATCTGCACACCAAAAGATCTTTACCGAATGAGATTCCAGCGTTTGGAATGATCACCAAAGATAGAGCTGACCGAGTAGTGTTAACAGCACTGTACCCCAGCCATAAATGAATAAGTTCGTTAAGAAATTTAATGGCTTTTGCCGTACATGACTCATGCGGTGGAAGTCTTTGCTGATGAAAAAATTCTTCTCAACGAAACAAATATGACTTATATTGTTTTGTTGTACATTTACGCCATGATGCAAAGAGAATTTCTTTCGCTGCATTTGTCAGATTTTGGTTTGTTAGATTTTCCCGGATAAAATGGCGATCATAAGTGATTTTCTTGTAAAGTCGACGAATCTCCTCCGGATGACTGGGGAGTTTTAATAGTGTCATCGATGTCTTTAGGTGAATTGGTGGCATTTCCATCATTGCTAGAGCTTTTGGGTACCACGCTTGCGTTAACCAATTTGGAAGAACACGCGTACACACCTCTCGCTTTTTTTTCTTTTATTTTCTCCGGTACATTTCCTATAATAATGAAGGGTGGAAAAGCATAGAACATATGTTGAGATCAGAGTAGACTAAATGCGTCCACTGACGTTGCATGAGGGTGGGGCCGTTGGGAAGTAAATTAATAGAGTCTGTCTTTCCAATAAAACTTCAAGTATTTACGATCTTTTTCTCTAATAGGTATGGAATAAGAACCATTTTTGAAATCGATGCTCACCATAAAACAATTTTTGTCAACTAACTTGATTATCGTACACAATGAATCTATTTTAAAATGAAGATATGATAAACACTGATTAAATTTTGTAAGATTTAGTATAATTCTGAAAGTGCCGTCATTTTTTAGTCTAGTATATTTAAAAGAATCTCGTTTGGTTGGTTTGACGTTTTTTCGATTATGCTTTTGGTATGCCATTGGTCTATTTCAGAATCTATAGTGTTTGCACGTGACGTCACAGCTTTTCTGTCCGCCATTGTGGGGGAGTTAAGAGCCAACATGGCCGCTGTAATATTGCCTAGGTACATTTTTTAACTGGTTTTCCTCAGACATTTTTCGTGGTGAGGATTGAAAACCTCCTGGTGGTGACCATCGGGCACTAGCATGTTTTGTGAGAAAAGTATTGATAAGTTTGCTTCCTTATTTATCGCATAAGTTTCTTACTTTGTCCGTGTCGTTTGAGTTCGTTCATCCACGACGTGCTTCATCAAACTTAATATTCTTTAAAGCATTACGGACTTAAAAAACGTAAAATTCTAAAGCACTGAAATTTGGACACTTTATAAACCTCGATTCTATTAGCGTCTACCGCAGAGATCCCACGAAACACTACGCATGGGCACATTAATCATTCTCTACCTTGCTCACCGCCATTACAGATGGCGTTTTTGGTTATATACGAATAGTCTATAAAATAATTTGCCATCCTGCTGGTAGAGCGACAAGTCTGGTGGGGCAGGGTATAAACACCCTTCTAAATCCAACAACAACAATCTCCTGGAAGAAGGAAATGACGGGAGAACCACTTTGGATGACCTTAAAAGGAAAGTCGATCAACTTACTGTCTTCATGAGTACTTTTGCTCCTGTAGTAAAAGAGCTCAAGCAGGCTTATGATGCTGACCGGCAAATGAACGATGGTGATGATATGCCTTAAGGTGAAACTGATGATCAACACTCAACCAACAGGGCTGCTGCGGTAGTTGCAGCTACAGATACAGCTTTAGCAAACCAAAGCGATGTTTTGGTAGATGAGCTGATTCACGAAATGACTGAGAATGAACCAACAGACCAACCATTGCCAACTAAAATTTCTAATATCCTACCTGCACTTTGTCCACTGGAAAATTTTTAATATCCTACCTGCATTTTGTCGATCGTCAAATTACAAAATTTCTAGAGAAAGGTATCATTGTTACAAGCATGCATGGACAGGGCGAGTTTATCTCCAATATCTTTCATAGAGCAAAGAAAGATGGATCTTTTAGAATGATATTAAACCTGAAAGAGCTCAACACGTTTAAAACATATCATCACTAAAAAATGGAATCCATCCATACTTGTACTTAGCTCATGCGACCTGGGTACTACATGGCATTCGTTGACCTTACAGATGCCTATTACTTAACACCAACACACACAGAGCATCAAAGTTACTTAAAATTTATGTGGAAAGGTAATCTTCACATGCCTTGCTAAAGGATTATCTTCCGCCACACGTTTATTTACAAAGATACTCTAGCATGTATATTCTAAGCTGATGGAGCTTGGGAACATTTCTAGCGGTAACATTGACGATTCTTTTTTAATGGGCTACTCCTATTCAGAATGCAAGCAAAACGTACGTTAGACTCTACAATTGTTTTAGAAATTAGGATTCCTACCCCGTAAAGTTAAATCTAATACGGAACCCACACAGACTTTACAACATTTAGGATTTGTGTTAAATTCAATAGATTTGACTATCTCTACATCCATAGAGAAACACAACAAATTATGCGAGGTTGTCAGGGGTGTGCTAAAATCTGACTCTCCTTGCATACGGGAAGTGGCCAAGTTATTGGTATAATGGTAGCTTGTTTTCCTGGCGTTGAATATTGCCCACTGTTTTATCGTGATCTTGATAGGGACAAAACAACAGCTCTTAAGTCTAACAGGAGTAACTTTGATGTGAAATTGAAACTCTCTTATTCGGCGCTGGAGGACGTATCTTGGTGGATTAATATTGCATTTAAGTCCAAAAAACATCTGAATCATGGCAAGATTGACCACGTATTGTATACGGACGCCTCTACCAAGGGATGAGGCGCAAGTACTAACAAACAAATTAAAATCATTCATGTTACCCTGAGAAAATTTTTTCACAAGGTTTAACTATTCTGTACGATTTTTTCTAACTTTACTATTATACTTATACTATTTTCACATGCTTAACATAGATGAAAATGCTGGTGGAGGCACAAACTCATCATTTACAGCATAAAGAATGACTGACAGACTCTAAACCCTTACAAAAAAAAACTATAGTTTTTAAGAAAAAACTATAGTTTTTTTTGGAGAAAACTAAATTTTTTATAAGAAAACTGTAGTGTTTAGGAGAAAACTACAGTGTTTAGGAGAAAGCCATAGTTTATAAGAGGAATAAACTATTGTGTTTAGGAGAAAACTGAAGTTTATCATGGAAAAGTAAAGTTTATCTGAGAAAACTATAGTGTTTAGAAGACAACTTAAGTTTATAATGAGAAAACTGTGGCATTTTTTAGACAACTACAGTTTATAGAAGGAAAAACTACTGTGTATAGTAGGAAACTATAGTTTATGTGGGAAAATTAATCGTTTAGAAAACAATTATAGTTTTTATCATAATTTCTAATTAGCAGCAATTTTAAAAAAACACTTGAGAAAAACGACGATTTTTTTGAGAGCAAACATGTTTCGGCATTATCAGAATGCCATCTTCAGTGCAGAATGGTTAGTGTTAAGTAATATGATACGTATTATGATATGAATAAATTAATTACAATGAGTATTAAGTATTAAGAACTTAAAACATAAGTTCTAAAAATAAGTATTAAGAACTTATAACAAAAAATATTATTATAAAGTAAATATAGTGTTGTAGTGGTGAACTTGGATATTTAAATTGGGATTAGTTTTATTAATGTGTAGAGCTTCCTTGATTTTGAGTGAGAAAGTGGATTGATCAGTGTCGATGATTTTAAAACAGGAAGGTGAGAATTTGTTTTTACATGAAGGAGAGGCTTGAAGATGTTTGTAGATAGTGGAGTTTTTGTCTGTGTGAGTATGTTCCTTTATCCTGGTAAATAATTGGCGAGAAGTTTCACCAATATAACGGGAATTACATCCCGCACATGAAAATTGATAAACTACCATAGATTTGGAAAGTTCGGGAAGTGGGTCTTTAAACGAAAATAAAGATTTTATTTTGAAAGATGTGAAAATAAGTTTAACGTCAATGTCAGTGCAGTAGCGTTTAATGATTTGTGTGAGTTTGCGTTGTGTGTGTCGTGAGTAATCACCTATTTAAGGTAGTTTGAAATAACGTTTATTGTCAGGTTGTTGTATATCGTTAGTGTTAGTTGTGGAGTTAGATGAGTCAGTGCTTTTCTTGTTGTCCAAATAGTGTTGTATAGTGTTGTTGATGAAATTAAAAGGAAAAGAATTACGTTGGAGAGTGAATATTAGTTTCTTTAAATCATGTTGAAAGCCGATACCTGTGTTGTTGAGTTTCCGTGCTCTGTCGGTCAGTGTTCGTATCAGTCCAATTTTGTAATTTAATGGTGTGAAACTAAAAAAGTTAGTCAGTAGTCCTGTATATGTTGGTTTGTGGTACGTAGAGGTCATACAGTTTTCATGTGATTTAGTTAGTAAGAGGTCAAGAAAGGGTAACTGATTGTCTTGTTCGGTTTCGTATGTAAAGTTTATGCTTTGATGTTGTTTGTTGATGTATTCGTAAAAGAGTAATGCTTCGTCTTTGTTATGAAAAATACAAAAAATGTCGTCAACGTATCTGCGGTAAAATAAAGGTTTGTTGTTGCTGTAGTTATTTAACCAGTTTCGTTGGTGAAAACCCATGAAAATGTTGGCTAGAATGGGTGCCAAGGGTGAGCCCATACTTACCCCGTCAATTTGGTCGTAGTACTTACCGTTAAATAAAAAATGAGTCTCGGCCGTAGTGATGTTAAAAAATAGTTTTAGTTCTGTTCTGCTCATTTTGAATGTAGGGTTGTTGGTAAAAATTAAATCAATAGCAATGTCTATGGTTTCAGTGAGTGGTATGTATGGTAAAAAGGCTTTCAACGTCAAAAGAAATAAAAAATTTGTCATGTGGAGCGTTAGTGTTAAAAGATAAAAAATCATCGACAAAACTAAAAGAATCTTTAGCAGAATGGTCATTAGGTATTAGGGGTTGGAGTAAAGAGCTGAGGTATTTGGCTAATTTGTAGTTATACGAATTGATTGAAGAATTTATAGGTCTGATAGGAGGTATGTCATTGATATTGTTTAATTTATGAAGTTTAGGTAAACCATATAAACCTATAAACTTTATTCCTTTGCTATACCTGATAGAGTTTGTGGCAAGTATCTGACGTAATATTCTGTTTCAAAATTTTTAAAAAATCGTAGGACGCTTGTAAAAAGCTAATTGTTGTCAGTGACTTTTAAATGAAGTCAAAATACAATTACAAGAAAACAACTTTTTCTTAACTAAACACTCAAATTTTGCTTTCGTATGAATGTTGTCGGAATTGTCATCAGGAAAAGGATTTTTTATAAAAATATTCGTGTGTTTATGTTTATTATTTAAATTTCATTGGCTACTTAAAAATTTACAACATCATTTCAGTCTATCATTGTTTGTAAGAATTTTTACTATTTACAGTAAATGTTATAAAGTTAACAAAACAAACAAATGAAAATTGTCTATCTAAAAATTAAACAATACTTTTACTTTACAAAATGAATTAAAATGAAGGTACGTTTCCATGAAATGAAATTTCCAAAATGAACATAAATTATTCATTTACTGTATAGTAAATAAAAAAATTATAATCTTTTAAGCTAGAGGTGGAATTATACGAAGTAAAATATTTGTGGCTTGCGCACCTACAGGCTATTTTGTTGTCTTTTTTGAGTTTATGTGACAAAAGAAAGCCAATTTTTTCCCAGGAGACGCTTTTTCAGAGTTTTACTTAGGCTTTTGCATGAGAGGAAATTTTAAAGTAACAAATTTTCATTTTCAGTCATTTTAGTTAGTCAAGAAAACTTAATGAAACTCTTCGCTACTGCGTGCGCAAGCCAACTTTAAAACGAAATGCGTTCACTTCACTTGAATAAGAAAGCTCAAAATATGCAAAGTTTTTATAAAAACTATGTAGAAATATCTAGCTAAAAACCAGCTTAATAAAATTTTGATGAAAAGTTATTCCAGTTCATTCCTGAAAAATTAAGATAGCTACAAACTTACATTTTATCAAGCTTACAATTTGCGCAACAAAAGAAAATCATGGCTATATTACTCATAAAGTAGATGTCGATAACAGTTATGCATCACGCATGGATTGCTCTACTAGCAATTGCATGCGCTATAGAATATGAGCCCATTGTAAGGCCCCCTTACTGAGAAATAAAAATTAAAGCAGGCAAACGGGCATTGCACAAACTAACATTTTAAAGTACTTTTGAGAGGTGTCGAAGTCATTGGAAATGGATTAACTGTTCTTTTTACAACACTGAATAATATTGCAGAGTTAAAAACAGCTTAGGATAGCTAAATTCTGCAGAAATTGTTGTTTATGACAATATATTATCACAAAATATTTTTATGGTCCCCCCTAATTTATATACTTTTTATGGTCCCCCCTAATAGTAAAAAGCTAAAGGGCCTTAAATTGAAGCAAGTCAGAGCCCAGTACACCACTGCAAACGAATCTTTTCTTAATAGACAATGGTTGGCCAAGCTTAAGTACTAGGCCTTTCCGTTTGCAAACTACGTTGTTAGTGTTCAATCTTAAGTATTCAGTAAGTTTACAGTTCTCACATTTTAAGGCTTCACTAAAATATTTGGTGCCTTGATTACTAATTTTGTAAGCAGAAAAGTACACTTCCGTAAGTTTACAATTTTCATTTTCAAAGCTTCAATAAGAAATTTAGCGCCTTCATCACCTTTATTGTTGTCAATAAAGATTCAATTGAGTAAGTTTACAATTCTCACTTTTCAATGCTTCACTAAGATATTTTGCACCTTTATCACCTATTTCGTTAGTTTCAAGATCTAATTTAGTAAGTTTACAATTCTCACTTTTTAATGCTTCACTAAGATATTTAGCGCCTTCATCACCTATCTTGTTGTCATTAAGATACAATTCAGTAAGTTTACAATTCTCACTTTTTAATGCTTCACTAAGATATTTAGCGCCTTCATCACCTATCTTGCTGTCATTAAGATACAATTTAGTAAGTTTACAATTCTCACTTTTTAATGCTTCACTAAGATATTTAGCGCCTTCATCACCTATCTTATTGTTATCAAGATCCAATTGAGTAAGTTTACAATTCTCACTTTTTAATGCTTTACTAAGATATTTAGCACCTTCATCACCTATAGCGTTTTCATAAATGACCAATTGAGTAAGTTTGCAATTCTCACTTTTCAATGCTTCACTAAGATATTTAGCGGCTTCATCACCTATCTTGTTGTTATCAAGATACAATAGACTAAGTTTACAATTCTCACTTTTTAATGCTTTACTAAGATATTTAGCACCTTCATCACCTATATCGTTTTCACAAATAAGCAATCGAGTAAGTTTACAATTCTCACTTTTTAATGCTTCACTAAGATATTTAGCGCGTTCATAACCTATTAGGTTGCTTGGAAGATTTAATTCAGTAAACTTACAATTCTCACTTTTCAATGCTTCACTAAGATATTTAGCACCTTCAACACCTATATCGTTTTCAAAAATATCTAACTGAGTAAGTTTACAATTCTCACTTTTCAAAGCTTCACAAAGATATTTAGCGCCTTCATCACCTATCTTGTTGTCATTAAGATACAATTCAGTAAGTTTACAATTCTCACTTTTTAATGCTTCACTAAGACATTTAGCGCCTTCATCACCTATCTTATTGTCATTAAGATATAATTGAGTAAGTTTACAATTTTCACTTTTCAAAGCTTCACTAAGATATTTAGCGCCTTTATCACCTATCTTGTTGTCATTAAGATACAATTCAGTAAGTTTACAATTCTCACTTTTTAATGCTTCACTAAGATATTTAGCGCGTTCATTACCTATTAGGTTACTTGCAAGATCCAATTTAGTAAATTTACAATTCTCACTTTTTAATGCTTCACTAAGATATTTAGCGCCTTCATCACCTATCTTGTTGTCATTAAGATCCAATTCAGTAAGTTTACAATTCTCACTTTTTAATGCTTCACTAAGATATTTAGCGCCTTCATCACCTATCTTGCTGTCATTAAGATACAATTTAGTAAGTTTACAATTCTCACTTTTTAATGCTTCACTAAGATATTTAGCGCCTTCATCACCTATCTTGCTGTCATTAAGATCCAATTTAGTAAGTATACAATTCTCACTTTTCAAAGCTTCACTAAGATGTTTAGCGCCTTCATCATCTAAATCCTTGGCATCAATATATAAATCCGCAATTTTACAATTCTTAAATTTCAAAGCTTCATTAAGATATTTAGCACTTTCATTTTCTAGATTAATAGAGTTGTAAGATGCAGTGAATGTAAAGTTACCACATTTTAAAGTTTCACTGAGATATTTCAAAAAATAACGACTAAAATCACAAAAATCAAAACGCAAAGAGAGTAATTTGTCGCCTGTCCAGTTTAATAAAAACTTTTTCATTGCAAGGCAGACATGATTATCAATAAACTCACACGAATGGAACAAAACTTCATTTATGTGTTTGCATTCCGAAAGAAATTCGAAAAATGCTTTTGAATCAACCGGAGTAAAAGAAACGTCTTCAATCTTCATTTCTCGAGAATAATTCTTATTTAGTTGTGTACATGCTGACCTCACGATATCTTTGTCTTGCAACTCGTATAAGCACTTTACTCCCAGAAAACCAATTGCTTTATTGCCGTCATTGGAAAAGAAATGTGAGATCCAAAATGTAAACCTGCAAATGTTAAATACAAAAGTTATTTATAAGCCAATCGTTCATCAAAGACTTAATACTTGCGTACGTATTGTTGCATAATAAGCAATTAGCTAGCTGATGCAGAATATTTTCTCTGTGGTCGAGCACAGCTAGAGAGGGTACATCTTATTTGAATTGTTTGGTAAGTAAAAAACTACCCACTGTTTTAAAGTCGATGAAGTAGACTTAGTTACAGTCATCAGCTTAATAGTGGAAAGTAAAAATTCTTCTATGTGCTTCAAAAACCAAGTTGATCAAACTTAAACTAAGATATATTTACTAATTAAAGATTATTTGGTTTTTAACTCTTTCGTTTTTTTTGTAACTGGAAAAAATTTGCGTCTTGTTTTTGTTTATTTCATAGCTAGTGTGATGCGTTTTTCCGTTTCAACTAAAAAATCTTGTCAAATCAGGACAAACGTAGAATGAAGAAAGCTTTTAAATATTTTTAATGATGTATTGTACATGTAATGTTTTGATGTCTTGTGCGCAGTGGCGTAGCTAGCGGTCTGGCTGGTCGGGCCCAGCCCGACCAAATATTTTCCCAAAAACAAAAAATTTGTTTTCTTTAAAATTGGATTTGCGAAAGTTTTAAATTCTGCGACTCTTTTTGGAATAATCCACAGTCTATTCGTGTAATATTTGTCAAATTGCGTCGTTGTTAGCAAAATTATCATATTTTTAAACGTTACTTAGCAACAATGACTAGTGCATTTCTAGTGCCAGGCAGTACGCAGTTTAGTCGGGCTCTGAAAATTCAGCCCGACCAAGTAGTAAAATCTATAGTGGGATTATCTGCAATCTGATTGGTTGACAGCAACTGAGCAAACTCAAATGCGCTGTTTCGCAACATCTAGTCGGGCTCTGAAAATTTAGCCCGACCAAGTAATAAAATCTATAGTGGGAATATCTGTAATCTGATTGGTTGAGAGTAGCTGTGAACACACCCAAACGTTTAACAACATCTAGTCAGTCTCATTTTCAAAAAGCGTGACTTGGATTTTGAGCTTTCGAAGTATACGTTCGGAAATCGTGATAACTTACATTACAATGGCTTCGGCTAATGAAATCGATATAATAAGTGAACTACAAAAGAAACCATTTTCTGTTCGACAATCAGGCGAGCAAAATATACTCGTAAAGCAGCGGCCAATTCCAAATTTACAAGCGACTACAGGAATAGAAGCTTTCAGGAAAGTTGGTACTCGAAGAAAGATTGGCTTTGTAGTAGCTTAGAAAAGAATGCATTGTTCTGTTGGCCTTGTCTTTTATTTTGCCCTGGATCGTCATCTTCATGGACGCAGACGGGATTCAAAAACATGAAGAATTTCCTATCCGATTGTAAGAAGCATGAGAAGGCAAAATCGCACATGGGTGCTTACAAGACCTGGAAGACCTACGGTTTTCAGTCTCGTATCGACTGTCTCATGTCACAAACTAAGCGTGAAGAGATTCAGCGTCATAACGAGGAGGTAAGGCAAAACAGGGAAATGTTGAAAACCATAACAGAAGCTGTTTTATACTTGTCTAGGCAAGAGCTTGCATTTAGGGGGCATGATAAATCTAGTAGCAGCACGAATAGAGGAAATTATAGAGAGCTACTTGAAAGTTTTGCCAAGATGGATTCTGTTTTTGAAAGGCGATTACATGGAAGGCTTGCTGAAACCCACCTTGCTGGGGGAGGGCGGTTTACTGGAGTCTCTCCTGATATTCAGAATGATTTGATTGATTGTCTTGATAAGATAAAAGAGGATGAGACTTTAAAGGAAATATATTGCTGCACTTTCTTAACTATACAGGTTGATGAGGCAACTGATGTTTCTACCAAAGAACAATTGAGTGTAATTGTGCGAATGGACAAAGGGGAAAGTGTCATTAAAAGATAGCTTGGGTTTGTTGATGTTAGTTGTGATAGGACTGCAACTGCTATATCATCAGTGGTTAAGGGTAAGTTAAGTCAATATAATAATGTGAAAGAGAAATCTATTGAACAGACTTATGATGGTGCATCTGTTATGTCTGGTCATCTCAATGGTGTTCAAGCTCAAGTTCAGCAGGATTATCCTTATGCTCAATTTGTTCACTGTGCTGCCCATAGACTAAATCTAGTATTATGTCGAGCTGCATCCTCCATCTCACCTGTTAAGATTTTCTTTGTTAATATTAGTGCTTTCTGCACCTTTACTAGCAATTCCCCCCAAAAGAAAAGCTTTACTATCATCGCATAGGCTTGAGTTTCCTAGTCCTGGTGACACAAGATGGTATTATAGGGCTCATTTCATCAATATCTTGCATTCTAACTAAGACAAACTAATAGACATATTTGAAAATCATACTGATAATCCAATAGATTGGGATGATGAAACGTTAAGTATGGTTACTGGTTTACTTGGCTACCTTAATGGCTTCTTGTTTTGTTTCTTGGTACATGTTTTCCAGAGAATTCTTGAGCAGTCATCCATACTTTATTCTATCTTGCAAAACAAGGACACTGACTTTCATTATGGATTGAGTAGGTTTGAGAGATTCAAGGCCTTTGTTGCTTCTCTGAGAAATGATACAGAATATTGTCAGGTGTACGACCTGGCTGTTGAGAAAGTGGGACCACCAGTAACCAGGTATGACCAACGGCATAATTACAAACAAATTTATTTTGAAATTCTTGACACAATTGTGACTATGCTGACTGAGTGATTTCAGGATATGGAGCGTTTTAGATTTTTGACCTTGTTAACCCTAGGGTGTTTAAGATGTGGAAAGGTGAAGTGCCCTCAGAAAAGATAAATCTTCTAAAGGAGGTTTATGGTGATATGTTTGACATACCAATGCTAGTTAGCCAACTTTGTTTTATTTACAGAGATAAAGACTTTCACTATGATTCATGCGATGAATTATTGAAATATATTTTTCAGTTCCATTATCAATCTAGTATTCCAGGAGTTGTAAAACTGTTAAAGATAAATGGGGTTTTGTCAATTACAAGTGCTTCAGTTGAGAGGTCATTTTCTTGTTTGAAGAGGGTAAAAAATTATCTTAGAAATACTATGAGCCAAGGACGTTTTAGCTCTCTTTTCAGGATTTCCATTCACAAAGACATACTGTCAGAGAAAGAAGACGCCAACACATTGCATGATGAGATAGTAAAGAAGTTCATTGAAAAACCACGAAGACTTGCTTCCTTATACAAATAGGTATTCATATATGGCTGATAGCAAGCTGATGATGTCTTACGTCCATGGCATGTGAGAATTTTTCCGGGAACTTTTTAATGCAGTCAATGATGATTGTCATTTCAGCACGACAACTTCATCACAACTTTTGATAGTTGTTGATGACAAATCTGACCCTTTTTTGGTTCTTTTGTCAAAGTTTCTTTACAAGATGTACATAGGTATCTATCTATGTAAGTAGTGTTGAGAAAATTAATCACATATCTGCAACTATTTTTGAACTGTTTCTCTGCTTTACTATAAGATCCTTCGGCAATTTAAATTAACCAAAATGGTTCTATTTCCTGCATAAATATCACGCATTTGCTTTCTAAGATAGCCGTTTCCGACGTTCTAGGGAGTCTAAATTCGGAAAATTTTCTCCCTCGGCGCCAACCATGGTGGCGACTCGTGAGCCCGACCAAATTTTTTTCGCTAGCTACGCCACTGCTTCTGCGTCATAGTGCATGTTGCAACACTATTAACTGAGACACTTGTGTGACAAAAACACATCATTTCTTATCCAATATTTTAACATTAAAAACAAATTAATCTATATATTTCACATATATCATAAATTCAAACATACTGCTTTCACAATACATCATCGTTTCTCTTAATTTGATTTGTTTCAATAAACGTAACAAGTCAATTTCACCATTTTTTTAAGCATGCTGGTATTTTATTTTTTTACATCGGAACAGAAAATCCTAAATATTAGCATGTTCCGAAAGTTGGATTTCTTAGGACTTCTCATACAGGGGCAGATCTACGATTTTCAATACCATAGGCAAATTTCAAGACGTCAGACTTACGACGTCATAAAACAGACACCTTAACATATGAAATTGATAAAGTAAGACACATTATTTATGCAGGTTTACGCTGTTCTGCTGACCTTAGCAGCTTATTTGAATATATGTAAAAACATACTGGAATAATAAACAAGTGATATCCAACACTCAATTTGCAAATAAAATATACAGTAAGCCGATATGGATAGCCTATATTATGAATACCTTTTTCAAAACGAAAAGGTGTTTTGTAAAAGTGAAATGTGGCTTTATACACAATTTCATGAAATTATAACACTTACCACTACCACGTAATCCTTACTCTCCAAATACCCAATATGTAGTGATAGTTCATATAGTATAGAATAATATGAGTACTATGTAGAGCTATATATGAACTTTGACTGGACATAGTGCAATGTGTTAAAATATAAAAATCTATTTTTATTGGCGTTTATATTTTGAAATTATTTTTTTAAGATGGTCTTCTCTTTTCTAAATGACGACTGAGGTTGGTACATACTTTAAATTAAAATGAAAGTTACACATTTTACTAATAAAACAGTAAGAGGAGTATTTCTCCTCCACTTTCTTATATCAGCTGTCCAGCATGCAAGTTCATTATACATAAGGTTGAATGCTAGAATATATTGGATAATTAATGGATAGTTCGCAAATAACGTGAATAAATTCTGAATTTATGTGACAAAACCCTACTTTATTAGTGAAGCATATTGCATTGGAAAAGTTTGAACAACAATCCTTTTGCTACAACAGATTAACCTGAAAACTTATCATTCATGTTTGAGGAAAACAAACAAGAAAGAAAGCATGCTCTTACTTTTATGGTAAAAGCAAAACCAAATACCACCTGGTGTGGTTAATTTTAAAACATTTACAATTAAACCTCATTACTTACAAACATCCAGATTTTAGATAAAAGTAGGTTAATGAGATGTCATGTGTTAAAGAATCCTTAGATTAGTGCTTTGAACACTAAATTATGAAAATTGTAGTAGAAAGATAATAAATAATATTTGAAAATGAGTTCTCTTAGACTTAATACAAATTTCACATAACCACATAAAACGTGCAGCGTTTTTTTATTAATACATATAAATATTTTACCTTTGTTCAACAACGTTAATATCCTTTACTTCTCCTCTTTTTTTCATATCTCCAACTAAACCAGCAATGAATTCAATCACCAAATGCCATTTAGGATCTGCAACGTGATCATCCAAAAATTTGCCAAGGTTTAGCCAATCGTCAACAATATAACACGCAGCTAAAAATTCCTGAAGAGTCAAATGAAGAAAACAATAAAAAAAGCGTCGTTTATGTGGTATCTGATGGAAAACACCACAGTTTGCCAAATTATGAAATTCTGTATTATTCTCTTCTTCAAAAATCAAATTTCCTTCCTCAAGTCCTTTCTTTGCTGTTTCTTTTATTTTTTTTATATCGGTATCAAGTGAGGATGGTAAAGGGATAATCAAATGATTTTTCGGCGGTTTTATTTTCTTGAGAGAAGGATGGTGTCTCCATAGTAAGATTTTTATTGCTCTGTTGTACAATTCAGTGATTGTCTTTGGAATATCCTCAGCATTATTTATAAAGCTTTCCTTTAGGGTCAAGCAGACAATATAAGTGTTGACAGGGATGTAGCACAGGCTACGAAGTTCATTAGAATTATCAATACAATTCAAAATTAACTCTTTGGTATTCTTGTCATTACCACAAAACTTTTCGATATAATCTTTGATCTGTTCTTCAAAAAAACCTAAGATCTCCACTGTTCGGTCAAATTTTAGTTCATCAAATGCATGTTCAGCTGTGGGTCGTGATGTTATAACAACAGTGACATCAGGCAACAGTTTACGTTTTACAAACGAACTTAATAGTCTAAATGTTGGCATTTTCGCATCATGGAGGATTGAACCACCAATATTAAGGCATTCTTCATTCAAAGATAGTTCATCAAGACCATCAAAGACAAGAACAGTTTTTTCAGGATACTTGATTACAAAGTCGTAAATTTTAGGAAAATCTTTATCTGAAAATCCATCACAATCACTTAACATATCTTTGAGACTAATGTTGCTATTTTTAAAATCACGACATCGCATTAAAAGAACAAGTTTATCTAGAAAAAATTCATCTGAATTTTTTATCCATTCAAGCAAAATTCTTTTTGTTAACATAGTTTTACCAATTCCTGGCCTTCCAATAACTAAAATGGTGCGGGGATACGATTGGTCTTGCCCCCCCTGGATTGGTGTAAAAATTTCTCTTGCCCTTGTTAATTTTTTTGTTTCTTCTCTTATTGTAAGATAGCAATCAACGATTTCGTGCCTTTTAAATTTTTTTGGATAAGCATTCTTTAATTGTCTTTCTGCTTGCATTAAGACGTTGATGTAAATATCGTCAAGATTTCGCCACTCTTTCATCTCATTGCCAAAGTCGTCATGTATTTCAAATAATTCGTCCGTTTTGAAATTGTTTTTAATTTCTTCCAAATGTTTTCCAAATTCTTCTTTTTTTCCTTTCAAAGGATTTGCACAGTCATCTTTTTGGAGCGGTACAAAATTCAAGTAAACAGTCGAAAATTTTTCCTCTTTTTTAAAAGATTTATCGACCCAAGCCTTATACGTCAAGTAACACAGCTCTAAAATTGTTAGTGTTATTACTATAAAATCGACAGATAAAACAGCTTTAATTAAGATTTCACTTTTATCACTGTTGGGGTTTTCACAATCAACGGTTGAAATGGTGTGATTTAACATGGAAATTTCTTTGATAGTTGGACGTCTTTTACAGGTGTATTCGACGGGAAATGTGGCAAAGAAAAATAATCCAACAAAGACAGACAATATGACGAGGCGAACCATCAAATAAACGATGTAAATGTAAAATGAAGAAAAATTAAGTGCAACGTTGTCAGATTGACGAGTTCCTTCGCTATATTCCACATGTAGAGGTTCACTTTGTTCGTCTCTGTTTTCTATTGGACTGTTATTATCATTATGTTCAATTCGACGCTTTACATAATATCCATAGACGATACTCCAAAGTAAGACAATAGCAATATTACAAATTACCATAAGAAAAACAGCATACTTAAAAGTTAAATCATCTTTGTATTGTCTGAAACATCTTGATTCGATGCTCTTTAAAAGAGAACTTTCTTTCGTCTTTGATATAATCTCATTATGACAATTAAATGAACTATCACCATATAAATTTAATGAAATGCCACAAAACGAGAAAGCCAAATATACCAAAGAAAATCAAAATTATTCTTCCAAACCAGTTAAAACTATTCCATGGTATGTATTCCAGACACTTTTCCATTTGTATGCTTAAAAAATGTATAAAATTCTTACATTACTTTGAATTAAAAACAAGACGCTAGCATTTGCGTTCAGTATCGTAGCCAGCTTGCAGACTTACTCTCGCACTGAAAATTCTAAAAGATTACCATTATTCATTCCTTTAGAAATCTACTGATCTCAGTCAGTGAACATAAAAATATTAGCATAGCTTGAGAAAAATGTCGGGCTGGCTACGCTACTGCTGGCGTTAGCCACAGCTCTAGGTACAAAGTGGCATGCGAAACTTTAGGATTGTATATACCTCATGCAATAATCTACTTCTATGTCTAAATGACTATCTTCCATTAAGATATACAGGAATTTTAGTAGACACATTTGATAGTCATAGCAATAAGTGTTGTTTTGAGTGGTCTTGAGAGCAATTTTGCACAAACATGTACGAGTGAGTTTTTCAAAGACTGCCATGCTCTTAACCAATCAGAATTGAGAAGTTTTTTCTTGTATATTATTACTGGAGGAAAAGGCATTAGCATTTTGCTCTTACTTTATGAATCTTATAGGATCTATTTACATTAAAAACAAATGAATAAACAAGAAACGGTCACAAAAGCTACATAATGCACTTTCGTGTACATTAATATTATGCATTTGACTTTGGTTTAGCTCAGCTTAGCTCTAATTAACATCTCTCAAAATAATGAAGCTCATTCAGTAAATGGTTTTTTGAAATATTTTAGACCAGACTTAAATCACATCAATTATGTTAATTATATCAAATGGGTAGGAAAATGGACGTTATTTTGTTCAACTCCGTTATTTAATCAACAGGTTGAACATTAAGTTTTCAGAGCAGCTCACATAACGCAACACAGCAACAAATGAAAAACTTATTGTACAAAACTAGTTGTAGACCATTTGCTCTATACTTATACACTTTTTTCGTACTAATCAAGCCGGTTTTCCACTTGCAAATTTTTGGGCCCGAAGCAATAATTTTCGAGTTAAAAAATTTCGTGTGACTGGGTACATTTGTTTTCTACGTGTAAAAATTAACTCACAAAACGGAAAAAATCAATGCAAAATGGCTGAATCAAATATTAACTAGATACTTATGATTCTCATTGCTGCAAAGACGAACATAACAACAAAGCAAAAACAACAATGGTTTTTTGTACGTCGTTTGTATGTTGTAACGGTAATGAAAGGAGAATTTCATCTATTTGTGAGAGAGCTTAGTATTTACGACTTATAATATGCTCCCATGAGCATCGTTTGTTTCGTAAATCAAAAACCACTAAAAATTTTATAGCGAATTATTTTGGCTAAGAAAAATTAAAAATCATACGAACTCAAATTTTCGTCGAGTTGTGATGACATCTTTGCCGTTTACGTTGCGGTTAGCAGTTCAGGTTTTAAGAACAGGATGCCTTTTTTGTTGTAGGTAAAGTACCGCAACCTTGTTATTAATTATATTACAACAAAGTAACTTTTGTGAAGCATAGTAAATATTTTAAGTGAGTATAAATCATAAATATGCCTATTAAGCTATCAACAGAGTGTTAATAAAACAGGAAATACAGCTCATGACAATGCAAATCTTAAAATACAAATGCAAAACTACGTATCAGATTCGACTTTTTTGAAGAAACAAACCTCAATGTCAAATGGATAGCTCAGATTTGCCGTTTGCTGTAAACGCTAGACTAAAACTCAGTAGTATAAAAAGTGTTGCCACTGGCGCACTTCACCTTGAGAAAGCGTTTTAGCTGGCGCACATCACAACTTGGGATCTAGTATATGCAAATCTAAGCGCCCCAGCCCTAGTTCGTGTACGTAATTACTATGTATGTCTGAAAGATATATATAGTATGCACATAGTGTAATTATGCTAGCATAAATACAGCGAAGGTCAAACCCTGGACAACGGCAGGAGCCAAAGACGGCCGGCCTAGCCCCCGCGCCCGCGCAGCTGGCCGTCGGGGGTCTGTTAGTTAAAGATTGGCGTATAGTAGGGTACGCGGTAAGATGAATAGTGAATCTAAAATAGTACGTATGAAAAGACAAGAGCAAAAAGAAAGAAGAGAAAGGGAGAAAAAACTGAATAATATAATAATAAGACAAAGAGAAAAGCATCTTAAATTACAAACCAGGCTGAAATACAGACAGGTTCGATACAATTAGAAGAATAATATTTATACATAGAATTGAGTTGGACACTGTAAGAGAGATTCTGCAACTATATAAACAGGGTGTTATAAGTGGAAGAGCTCTAAACTCATTCCTTCAAGCTTTTCAATCACTAGCATCTACATCAAGAAAGCGTACTAATACAGCTTCTTTACCATGTAAGCGCAGACATATTAAGCCCAATGACGTAATAGAATTAGACCGCCTAGTATAACAAACTCTGTAGATTGGGAAGCTGCGTATGGAAATATGAGCGACCCAGCGTTATACGCTATAACGCACCTGACTTTCTAACTACAATTCCTCAAAAACTAAAACTCCGACGCCTCCGGCGGCCTCTTCACCCCCTTCGCCGGCCGTGAGGCGTTTATATTCGGTTCTAGATAATGAGCAAAAAAGCGAAGGCCAGTCTTCGGAATCATGTAGCGCTTCGTGTAACAAATATTCATCAAATAACCGTTGAAGATTTGGGTATTATACTTTCTATAGTGAGTGTGATAATTACTCTAGCAGTTGCAATATGTTGAACAACTAATGTTGCATCAGCAGGTAAGTCTACATCTATAATATTGCCATAGCTACATTCATGGTTAATATCACCAATACGATGTGTTTTTTTTTACTTAAGACAAGTAATTTGCTTGGAGTTTGAAGTACTTGTAGCGCTCCTGCACTTGTAAAACATTTTCCACTTAATGATATTCGGTAGAATCCAGCGGTTTTGATGGTGATTGTAGAAGAATCTTCTTTACCTTTTTCACACATCGTGACATTGGTCCAAACTGAACCTCTTTTTCCAGTGACTGAAGTACCAACTTGGGTGTATACATCTACTAGAAATTGCAGTCGCTTTTTTATGTTTTTTCACGTCTTCTATGATGTTTTACATCTCGGGCGTGGTGTCTTTTTGCCGGACGTAGCAAAGCTTCGAGAGCCTCACGCGTAGGTTTATCTACGTCTGAATAGTTCCAAGAAGATATGACTATTTTTTCAGCATTAGATTCATATTCTAGTTGGAATTTTCAAAATTTTTCTCGCTATTTCGTCGTAATTATACTTCTACTGCTCGGCGAAAGACATCGTTTGTTGATTCAAATTCATGAACCGAAGTCTCAGATGCATTAGACATTGTAATTCTACATATGTTATAAAAAATTTTTGTTAGTCTATTAAGAATAGTACTTGATATTAAACCACTCGTTTCAAGATCGTTCAAACCAAATATTTAATATTGCTATTTTACTATTTCAAGTGTTTTCCAGTAGGAAACGTTACTAAAGTTACATTTACTCCGCTCATACAAGTAGGGTTAAATCCAGTAGGAGAGTTCAAAACAGGCTGGTCTCCTTTAACCCCATTAGCTCCTGGTTTTCCTTGAAGTCATTAACGTCCTGAAGGCCCCGGGGCCCTGTGGCTCAATATCTCTTTTAGGCCCTTGAGGGTCTCGAGGTCCTGCGGCTTCTGTAGACCCCGGCACTACTCTAGGACCTGTTAGACCTCTAATGCTTTGTTGCCTTGAGGTCTTTGAGGTCCCTGATGTCCTTGAGGTCCTCGAGGCCCTTGAGCTCCTGTGGCTCCAGGCGCACCATCGCTTCCATTGGTCCCATCATTTCTGTCATGTCCACTAGGACCCTCATAACAATTCTCCCTTTAATCCTCTAAGACCCGTATCTCCTTGAGCCCCTGTAACTCCTGTATCACCTTTTTCTCCCTTTGGTCCTCCAGGACCCGTATCTCCTTGAGCCCCCGCAGCTTCTGTGTCACATTTATCTCCCTTACCTCCTCTTGGGCCTCTAGGCCCTGGTGGTCCTGGTTTTCCAGATCCATAACCATCATCAGTTCCACCGATTACTCATGAATGGAAAGCCTTCTAATCAATAAACACAAGCCTTCACTTAATGTGCAAGGAAACTCCATTCCACTTAACCTCTTTTAATTTCTCTTTATTTCACTTCTTAACTTCCTTATCATGTATCCATTTGACACCACTTCCTTTAGTATTTCTTTCATTAAATCATTCTTTAGTATTTCCTTTAGTATTTCTTTCATTAAATCATTCCTTCCGCTTCTTTTAATATTTCTTTCATTAAATCATTCGACACCGCTTCCTTTAGTAGTAATTTAACACCTTTTTGTAAATATAATACCTTGTGTTCACATCCCATTTATTATTTATCTGAAGATGTCTTGAGTAAAGACGAAACGTCACAATAAATTTAATTTTACAATTTTTTTGGTCTATTTTTATGGCTCTAATTAGAAATGGAAACTATGGTGACACGGATGGTGAGCAGAGAGGAGAGCTCAAAAAGACTCCAATTCAAAGACAAAAAATCCTAATACCGCCATGCGCTTACAACATTCCCGATATCAATCAAGCTTCTGAAAATGCTATGGAAGCATTGGGTATAAAGTTTGCACATGAATATGAAACCGCAAGACGTGATCCACCCTTTGTGCTCTCAGTAAATATTCCCACATCTAAATCTGAGATTGCTATTAAAGGTGACCTTGAAGTTTCCTTTGACACAGATAACAGCTTAGGCCCTATTCTTGGGTTTTGCTTTCGGTGGAGGTGATATTACTAGAGGAAAGACATAAGTCAGAATCGAATTAACTTTACAGATGTACAGAAGATCCATATTCACTCCTCGCTTGTTAATTCAAATATAGTAAACGGGAATCCTAGTGATGTTATTAAACCGAGGACCAGGACGTTTGTTGGAAATAAGTCCTAGTCAACCGACCTACTTACCTCTCATTAAAACAAGCTTTATTAATAAAGTGAGAACGGAAATCACTGATGATTTAGGTAAAAAGATTGATTTAAATGGTGAGC